TACTATTAAATTTGTAAAAATAACAAAAAAAGACATTAATAAAATTCCTAATGGAAACTAAGAATTCATCAACCTGAAATCTTTTCTTCCAGTAATTATTTTTTTAAATTTGTTTTAAAATTATAGTTGACATACAATATTGTATTGGTTTCAGGTGTACAGCATAGTGATTAGACATTTATAGATCTTATGAAGTGATAGCCATGATAAATCTGTTATCTCACATAGTTATTACAATATTATTGAATATATTTCCTTCTTACATTACATTCCTATGACTCATTTTACAATTGGCAGTTTGAACCTCTTAATCTTCACTTTTTCACTCATCTCACTACCGCTGCCCATCTGTCAACCATTAGTTTGTTTGCTATATATATGAATGTTTCTGTTTTGTTTTGTTTTTTAGATTTCAACGTATTACTCTTTCAATATCAGTAGAATCTGTAGCAATAATACCTTTAAATTCCTGATATAGGTAATTTATATTTTATTTTTCTCTTGATTAACCCACCTAATAGACTTTACTTTTTTTTCTTCAAAGAACCAGCTTTTGTCTTTAATTTTCTGTCATTTGTCTGCTTTTTTGTTGTTGTTGATTTCTTCTATTACCTATTATTTACTTTTGGTTTAATTTGCTCTTCTTTTTCAAGCTTATTGTTGGAATATTAGACCATTACTGTTAAACTTTGTTCTTTTCTAATATAGACATTTAAAACTGTAGGTTTTTATTCCTACGTTCCTCTTTTTAATCTTCTTTTAATCAAATATACTGTATATTTCATTTTTATTTCCACTTATTGGCCTTCTATCTATACTTCTTTTTTAAAATATATTTTTATTGCCCTGGCCAGTTTGGATTTGGATAGAGCATCAGCTTGTGGACCAAAGTCCCAGGTTTGATTCTGGTCAAGAGCACATACCCTGGTTGCAGGTTAATTCTCAGCCCTGGCCCTGGTCTGGTCTTGTGCAGGAGGCAACCAATCCATGTGTTTCTCTCATAACAATGTTTCTGTTTTTCCCTCTCTCTTCCACTCTCCCCAAAAAAATCAATGGAAAAATATCTTCAGGTGAGGATTAACAATAAAAAAAAAATTTATATACACATATATATATAATTTATTTCAGAGAGGGAGGGAGTGGGAGATAGAAACATCAATGATGAGAACCATTGATCCACTACCTCCTGCACGCCCCCTACTGGGGATTGAGCCTACAACGCAGACATGTGCCTTAATAGGGAATGGAACCATGACCTCCTGGGTGCTCAATCATTGAGCCATTGCTGGGCGGGCAAGGTATGCTTATTATTATTATTATATTTCTAGTGGTTCTAGGGATTACAATATACATCCTAAGCTTATCACAACCTATTTAGAATTAATATTGCATTAATGATTCATATGATAATCTTATTACATTAAAATCTTATTATATTAAAATTTTACCATCTCATTTGCTATTGTTTTCATACATTTTACATATACATACATAATAAACCCCATGTTATTATGAAAATCATTAAACAAGGAAGTTAGCAGACTGAGGTGGCTCTTACGTGAGCAAGCCAAAATCTAAGCCAGAGTCACTTCCTATAAACACCTCGAGGTTAGGAAAGCAAAACTAAAGAACAAACAGCACTCTACTTTCCGAAATAGGAAAACTGCTTACACTATAGCCAATTAAATAATAAAGTAGTTTCTTTTTAAAAATTTATCTTTATTGTTGAAAGTATTGCAGACGTCCCCTTTGTTCTCCCATTTACCCCCTCCACCCTGCACCTGGCACCAATAAGAAAACTTTCCTCTTGCTCCTGCTAATAGAGACCTAACCATTTCTGATTTTGCACTGGCTGATTTGAATCAGTTTGCTTACATAAACTCTTCAAAAATGTATATGCCTTAGTTTACCTTTTAACCCTATTACTCTGTATAATTACACTTACTTTAAAGTTACCTCAAATAAAATATAGTTGTGTATAAAAAGAGATATATTCTCAACATATTTACCATTCCCAGTACTCTTCATTTCTTCCTATGGATACAAGTTTACTTCAGCATATTCTGTAGCGCAGGCCTTCTGACAATAAATTCTTTCAGCTTTTATCTCAAAATATTTTTTTTTGTCATTTCAAAGAATCTAAAATTCTACATTGATTTCAACATTTTACTCATTTAAAAGAAACTGATTTGAAAGAGACATCGATTTGTTGTTCCATTTATTTAAGCATTCATTGGTTGGTTCTTGTAGGTGCCCTGACCAGGGATTGAACCATGACCTTGGCTCATCACACTCCAACCAACCAAGCTACCTGGCCAGGGCGTATTTTGTTTTTAAATCAGATATGATCTTGTGGCCACATTTCATGTAGTAAAACCAAAACCCTAAAAACCAGCGGTCACCCACTGGTGGTCCATCAGATCCAAAAGGCTGGCGACCACTGCTATAAATGGTGCCGCCAAATCCAGGCATTTAACATGTGGGTTTCATCACTGCAAAGTTAGCCAAGTATCTGAAAGTGTCCTGCAGAGGACAGGGCCAATCACCAATCCCATTACATCCCAAATGCTTTTCTCTGGGCTTTCACTGTATTTATTTCTCTTTATTCCCTTATCAGTTCATTTCAGAATGATTTTTCTCTCCTGTTAGTTGAAAAACAAGAAACCTGTTAGTTGAAAAACAAGAAACCTGAGTGATTATCTTAATATAACCTCTTTCAAAGGGGAAGCCCTGGGGTAAAAACTATACTGAACCTTTAAGCCTTCTAGAATAAAAGCATGACTGATGAGAATTAGGAGCTGACTTACTCCTATCTAAAGATACAATTAAAGAAAGTCTAGCCAAAACCTGTTTAGCTCAGTGGATAGAGCATCGGCCTGAGGACTGAAAGGTCCCAGGTTTGATTCCAGTCAAGGGCATGCACCTTGGTTGCAGACACATCCCCAGTAGGGGGGTGTGCAGGAGGCAGCTGGTTGATGTTTCTTTCTCATCGACATTTCTAGCTCTCTATCCCTCTTCCTTCCTCTCTGTAAAAATCAATAAAATATATATTTTTTAAAAAGTCTACGGGGGAGGGGGCAGCAAGGAAAGGTCAATGAGGGAAAAAGGAGACATATGTAATATTATATCTAATTCTTTAAACAATAAAGAATTTTAAAAAATTAAAATTAAAAAAGAAAGTCTATACACAGCAGCTCTAATATGAAATATGACATTAATGATTTCTAACAGATGAAGATAAATTAAGAGGATGCAAGTTCTGCCGAAAATTTGGAGCAGGATGTTGGGCAAGTCACATAATAGGAACATAAATAAATAAATGATAACGTCTCATCAGGCTCTTACTACGTGCCAGGTCCTGTGCTAAATGCTTCACATGCATTTTTAAAAAATAAATATTTTATTGATTTTGTACAGAGAGAAAGGGAGAGATAGAGTCAGAAACATCAATGAGAGAGTCATCAATCAGCTGCCTCTTACACACCCCCTACTGGGGATATGCCCGCAACCAAGGTACATGCTCTTGACTGGAATCAAACCCGGGACCCTTCAGTCCCCAAGCCAACGCTCTATTCATTGAGCCAAACCGGTCTCGGCTTCACATGCATTTTTATTAAATATATTTTTTATTTCAGAGAGGGAGGAAGGAGAGAAACATCAATGATGAGAGAGAATCATCGATTGGCTGTCTCTTGCACACCCCACACTGGGGATTGAGCTAACAAGCAGGGCATTTGTTCATGTATCTTTTGGCGTTTACTAGAAACCTTGTTCCCCGAATTCTGGAAAGTATGCTACATAAGAACCCCAATGTCAAGGTCCCATCATTCTGGAATAAGTAACACTTATCACAAATTGGTAACCACATTTAGATGCACATCAATGTCATGCATATTAAAATTGGACAGCAAATAAATAAATGAATGAATGAATAAAATTGGACAGCAGCTTCACTGTCCAATAGCTCCCAAATATAGCAGACTCTGACCAAACTTTGCAACATCGGCCTCTTCACTCAAGGCAACCCTTCTTGTTCTGGAAAACTTTAACCTCTTGCATTGTCGTAAAAAACAAACTGAGATTTGCAATACTCAACTATATGTGATGACTCAGTGTGAACATTTAGTTTAATATGGTTTTATTTCAAAATCCACAAAGCTGGAGGGTTCTGATCTTTTATTAAAAGAAAGCAGTTTTCACAGTATATATTTAGTCGGTTTAGCTTTGTGTGGAACAGCGACAGGAAAGGAAGTTTCTGTTCACAGTCCTCACTCCAGCGCACTCAGCCAGGTGCCGGGATCTTGCAGCAAGGTAACACATTCCTGGTCTGAGCCCCTAGTAAACCCTCACCCAGCTGGCACAGTTCTGCCCAGGCACACACTGCAGGTCTTACTTTCCTGCTGTCCATGGGCGCTAGGAATCCTCCACTTTCAAGTTGAGAAAAATGTGAAAGGATTTCTTAACTCACTGCCTTCAACAAACCCAGCTACTTATTAATTCTTGACAATTACAAGGATAAAATACTTGAAATGTGTAAGAGGTTCCACATTTAATAGAACTCCAATGTAAAAAATTAGTTCAAGTAACATGTTTTCACGTTTTAAAATGTTACTTAATAAAACTTACTGAGACAAGATGTGCAGCACTTTCTTATACGTGATATTATAAACTGCTTCTGACAATGGCTACTTGATGGTCAAAAAATAAAATAAAAAAGAGAAGAAACAATACATATTGGAATGTAACAATGCCTATAGGAATGTCATTTAAAAAATTTTTTGTTACTAAAATTAAACCTGAAAAAAAAAAAAAAAAAAGACTAGAAAGCAACACATCCATGTTATTTTCAATGATGAGGTAGGTATTCTGTCCTATGCAGTAAAGCAAAGATAGAAAACTGCAACACCTTTCAAATCTTTTTTTTTTTTTTTTTTAAAGTTCAGGTTATAGTCACTTTCACAAACAAGGCATTTATACACTACAAGGTGGATAGGTCAGAGTCAGGCAAGCTCTGTGCTTGATGTGTTGTTACCGAAGATTCAATTATCAGTCTTGGATCAATCAACTGTCTCCAAAAAACAGTGATCTGAAGAAAAATACAAAATATTCAGTTTAGAGATTTCATTATGAGATCATATAGGTTCTAGTCAGTTAAAAACATCAGTCAAGTAAATTTCTTTCTATTTATGCAGAATGGTTGAAGTCCTGGAAAAATTTGAGTCCTAATAAACTGAGTTTATTTAGTGCATAAAACCTGTTTACCTCAAAAGCAGCTAAATTTTACATTAAGCACATTTCAACCTTCTTTAATTTAGAGCAGGGGCTGTGGGGGTTGGCCCAGAGTGAGGGGTAGCTGGTTACAAAGGGTCATGAGGATTTGCCTAACAAGCTTCTGTGGACAGGTTATCAATAGACTGTTGATGCCGTTTTGTGCAGCTCTGTAGTTCTGCTATGCTGCCAGAAATAGGAGGAATTTTACATTTTACTAATAGAAAGCAAAGTTAAGCACTTGGCCATGTGGATGAATGATGAGAGCCATCTAGTGTCCAAAAAAGGTAATTACAGGCTCCGCTTTAGACCTCTGAAAAGGTATGGAGAAGCAAGTCTCTAAGGCTTAACTTTCCAACAGTTTCCAAGAATACATTTCAACCCCAAAATGAAACTTATAAGGCAGTATCTATAGCATCCTATCTGATAAAGAGGGAATATGCTAATTGACCATCCCACCCTCAAAAAGATGGCAATGCCCACAGCCAATAAGGAGAAAATATGTTAATTGACCGCCATGCCCTCAAAGATGGCAACGCCCACAACCACAAGATGACAGTGCTAAGTCCCCTTAGCCCCATTGGGGTGGCAGGCACTTGGCACAGACGGGCCCACCCCCAGGTGAGTCCAGCAGCTCCGCACGCCTGGCTCCAGAGTCCCCCAATCACCTCAGTCCCCATCCCCCCAGGGCTGGCGCGAGGTGCAGGCAAGCCTCAGATGGTGGCTGCCCGGCTGGCCAGGACTGGCCTGAGGAGCAGGCAAGCCTCAGATGGTGGCTGCCCAACCACTCAGGGTCGCCTGAGGCTCAGGTAACCAGGGCCAGCCGAGGCTTGCGCTGCCGGCAGTGGCAGCAGCAGAAGTGTGATGGGGTGTCACCTTCTCCTGATGGCTGGGTCAACTCCTGCCTGAGGGTTCCCAGATTGTGAGAAGGGCCAGGCCAGGCTGAGGAACCCCCCTCTAGAGCATGAATTTTCATGCACCAGGCCTCTAGTTTCAAATAGCCTGCACCCTCTACAATCTGGGACCCTTTGGGGTATGTTGAAATGCCAGTGTAGGCCTGATCCTAGGCCCTGTGGGATCAGGCCTAAACTGGCAGTCTGACATCCCTCTGGCAATCTGGTATAACTAGCTCCTAATCACTAACCTAGCCTGCCTATCTGCCTGATTGCCCCTAATCCCTCTGCCTGCTGGCCTGATTGCCCCTACCTTGCCCACCTGCTGGCCTGATCACTCCTACCTTGCCCTCCCTGCTGGTCTGATACCCATATCTTGCTCCCCTGTCTGCCCGATTGCCCCTAATCCTCTGTTTGCCAGCCTGATCGCCCCTACCTTGCCCCCTGCTGGCCTGATTGCCCCTACCTTGCCTCCCTGCCTGCCTGATCGCCCCTAACCTCTCTGCCTGCCTGATCGCCCCTAACTGCCTCTGCCTGCTGACCTGATCACCCCTAACTGCCCTTCCCTGCTGGCCTGATCTTTCCTCTAACTACTCTCCCCTGCTGGCCATCTTGTGGTGGCCGTCTTGTGTCCACATGGGGATAGTCATCTTTGACCACAGGGGAGCAGCCATCTTTTGTGTTGAAGTCAATTTGCACATTATTCTTTTATTAGATAGGATAGAGGCCTGGTTCATGGATGGGAGCCAGCTGGTTTGCTCTGAAGGGTGTCCCGGATCAGGGTGGGGGCATGAGGTGGCCTGGGCGAGGAGCCTGTGGTGGTTTGCAGGCCAGCCATGCCTCCCGCAGAGGCCCTCGTATCTGGGATTTATCCTCTATCATTGAAATTTTGTAGCCTGGAGTGGAGGCTTGGGCCGGCCAGGGCAGGCGGAAAGCTTGGCTTTCTCCATCTCTGGGGGCAACTCAAGCCTCCTGCTCTCTTAAGCTCTGTGGCTGCTGTCATTTTTGTTGGGATTTATTTATCTTCTATCACTGAAACTTTGTAGTATTGAGTGGAGGCCGAGGCTGGCAAGGGCAGGCAGAAAGCTTGGCTTCCTCCATTGCTGGGGAAATCCAAGCCTCTCTCCTGCTCTCTGTGGCTGAAGTCATCTTGGTTGGGTTTATTTGCATATTCACTCCTGATTGGCTGGGGGCGTGGTTTGTGGGTATAGCATGGGTGTGGTCAATTTGCATATTACTCTTTTATTAGGATGACTATGCAAATCTAGACTCTGTGCAACTTGTCATAAAGGCTCTTTAAGGTCCAAGATGATGCCCTAACTGAACACTTGGCATTAATATGCCACCTTATAGGCAGGACAGACATCCTAAAGACCCAGATCCTTTATGATTTTATTTTTTTAATTTAAAAAAAGGTTTTTATTGATTTCAGAGAGAGGAAGGGAGAGGGAGAGGGAGATAGAAACATCAATTATGAGAATCATCAATTGGCTGCCTTCTGCACACCCCACACTGGGGATCAAGCCTGCAACCCAGGCATGTGCCCTGACTGAGAATCGAATTCTGACCTCCTGGTCTATGCTCAACTGCTGAGCAACATTAGCCAGGTCTCCTTCATGATTTTAATATAGGCAGTTCAGCAAGCTGCAGAGTCTTCCAGACAGACCACCAGTAATCAATTGAGAGAGACTAGATGACTCGGCAATCCCAAGAAGAGAAGCACACCTACCTTTCTCTCCTGTGTCACGGCGTATTCCACGACCTCAGACCCATTTTCATTGTGATAAACTAAATCGAATTTCCCGGGTTCTTTCATGGATGAAACTAGATGTTAGGAAGAAGAGACAGTAAGTCACTCCGCAGTAGTGAAAATATTCTTCTACAGGCAACATACATCATTAGAAAAACCATCGCAAACAAACTGCATTGATGTGGAGGCTGGGTACGCACATGCAACATGGAGTGCTCCATGACAGGAGTCCTGAGAAAACCCCGCACCATCAGACGGGAGCTCCTTTCCAGGATAATATTTCCTTCATCAAAGGAAAGTGGGAGGACGAGCTTGATACACTATCACTAGTACTCCCAGAAAAGAATGTACAACCACAAGATAATCCCAAAAAGTAACTGTTATGTTTCAACAAGGGAATGTAATCTGAATTCTGCAAATACTTCTATCTTGCTATGTCCTCAGAAATTACACATGCTTACTACTTAGTAATACAGCAGTCCTCACTTTGCATGGTAGTGTGGGACCCTAAAAAAGGCTGAAATCATGCAAAACAATAAAGTAATCCATGGGGAAAATTACCATACGATTGATCCACAATTTTTACAAAATTCTGTCAAAACATTAAAATCTTCACTATATGAGAAAATTAAAAGAAGTAATATAAGTATTTGTGTAGCACACTGTAATTTAAAACATTAGAAACACTGAGAATTAAAGTGCATGGCTTCTTTGTAAGATTCTTATCAAGGGTAGTTGAATGGAACTTACCTTCTTGTCAGGCAACAATGACAGAGTGAATCTTTTGTATTATTTGCAGAACTGTCATACTCACTTCAGCTTTCAATACTTTATTCCTTGAGTTTTTTTTTTTTTTTTTTTTTTTTTTTTTTTTTAAATATATTTTATTGATTTTGTACAGAGAGGAAGGGAGAGAGATAGAGAGTTAGAAACATCGATGAGAGAGAGTCATCGATCAGCTGCCTCTTGCACACCCCCTACTGGGGATATGCCCGCAACCAAGGTACATGCCCTTGACCGGAATCGAACCCAGGACCCTTCAGTCCCCAAGCCGACGCTCTATCCATTGAGCCAAACCGGTCTCGGCTATTCCTTGAGTTTTTAATGTCATGAAACAGCTCTGAGAAATTTGAGAAGTTTGGGAAACTTTTGGTCGATACCACTTCTGGGACACCTTCATCACCAACACCCTCCTCATTTAAGTCAAGTAGTTCATAGAAACCGCAGAATCACTATTCCTATGGGTAGCTGTTTCCTTCTATAATCTCAAACTTGCTTTGGATGTCACTGTTTGTTTCTTTGTTGTGCTTTCATCTTTGTTGACCAACCCCTTATTTCAACTACCCATTTTGTAAGTGTCGTGTGGGTTTATCACTGAGGGACAGGGAGCAGCAAAGGCACACACCTTGCTGTGTGTACGGGAAACGAGTAACAGAAGCACAGTGATCGATCATCAAGACTGAAAAAAGTGGCTAGTCACAGATTATGATGAGCATCTGTTATTATGTAGTGACTTGTGGACTAAAGAGCTGGCAGCACCTTATGCAATTACTCTCATTAATATATTCAATGTCAGGGGGGTGGGATGAGGGCATGTGACAGGGGGTAGGTAAGACTGGGGGAAGGTCAACGAGGGGAAAAAAAGGAGATATATGTACTACTATTTGTAATACTTAAACAATAAAATACAATAATACACACACACACACACACACACACACACACACACACAATGTCACTGAGGGACTGGTGGTAGTATCTAAACCAGGGTAACTGAAGTGCATGGATATCAGAACTATGCAAAGCAAGGACTGCCAGTATTTCTATTGGAAAAGATAAAGCCATTCCTTATTCCCCAGAAGAAAAGTTCTATTTAGATGTCATCACTGTCAATCACCTGAGAAGCAATGATCCAGCCATGGCCTTGGAATTTGACCATGAACTAATTTCTTTGTCCATCATTCCTAAGAAGAGGGATTTCTTCAAATGAAACCTTATCAGAATGAAGCTGGGAAACCAGTGTAGGTTACATCTCATCATTTGCTTAATAGCCTAAAGAGACTTTGTTGAAAAACCCTTTTGGCTTTGGCTGGTGTTACTCAATTGTTATACTGTCAGCCTGCACACCTAAAGGTCACAGGTTTGATTCCTGGTCCAGGACAATAACTATGTTACAGGGTGTTTTTTTTGCTTCTTTGTTTTAATTATCAATTTCAGTGAGAAGGGGGAGAGAGAGACAGCAGACAGACAGACAGAAACTTCAATGATGAGAATCATTGACTGGCTTCCTCCTTGTATGCTCCCCACTGGGGATCGAGCCCACAACCAGGAATAGAACTGTGACCTGGTTCGTAAGTCTAGGCTCAACCACTGAGAAACCCCAGTAAGGCTGGGGTGCAGGCTTGATCCTCGGCTCCAGGCAGGGAGCGTGCAGGAGGCAACCAATCAATGTGTCTCTCTCACATAGATATTACTTTCTCTCTCCTCTCTCTTTCTTCCACTCCCTCCATCTTGTCCTCCCACTCTCTCAGAAGAGCAAAGGAAAAAATGTCCTCGGGTGAGGATTAATAAAACCCTTTTTACTAACTTCTGTGTATTTAAACACAAATAGAAACTAATTGCCTTAGGGTCTGATAAAGAAAAGGGATCTCCCCTGGTCTCTAGTCAGGGACCCTACAACACAACACAAGTTAAGCCATATACAGTACAAAGACTCTCATTCCAGGATTTCGGAACCAATAATGAACAGGGTGAATCAGGGATAAGGCAGAATAATGTGTGGACTGTGTATATGCAAATATTTTAGATACTTTACTTTGATTTAACAACACAAATGTGTTCATTTGCCAATCTTTTGAAAATAGAGCTGAACAGATCTTAGGAGCCCACCAACTAGAGCGTCTTTCTTTTATAAATCATACCCTTAATGTATGCCTGCAATTTGTATAATTTCCAGTTTTGAGTTTTTTTTAAAGTGAATGCAAAAACTAGCAAGGCATTTTAAGTGCAAAAGCTTCCCAGATTTTTACCAAATTCCTCTCAATCTCTTATATAGCTGACCCAACCACACAAAACTTAATGGCAAGTTTTTTTTAGCAACACTTCTGCATCAGCATTCAACTTAGGTTTTAAAAAAAGGATTTTCTGACATCAATTTTCATCGGTTTATATAATTTTTATGAAATTATATAATTACAGTAATAAGAACAACTTGCCTAAAAGCTTTGGGGGAAAAATCCAATAACTCTTAGCGGACACTCTACTCCACCAGTGGGGCTCAGGCCCGGGTCGTTCTGTGCTGACAGAGGAGGTGGAGAGCGCCAGCTGATCATGGATGGGGCCAATAAAGACAGCAGCTTCCGTGCACACAGCTATTTAGAAACCAATGAGATGTGGAAAGCCTACATTTTCAAATACTTTTCTAGAAGACTCACCATGTCTGGATGAAAGGATTTCTATATCTACTTGCTGGGTCTCTGGATTATGGCTCAAGATTTTTCCTTCCTTTCAAAAAGAAAAGTTGAAGTGAAATATCAACACACAAAAGATTATGAATATATTAGAACCACTGAATTGTATACTTTAAAATGGTTTAAACCAACGGTTGCCAACCTTTTAGAACTCACCACGTGTTGCCAACCGCTGGTCTAAACTGTGGATTTTGCCGAAACCGGTTTGGCTCAGTGGATAGAGAGTCAGCCTTCGGACTGAAGGGTCCCGGGTTCGATTCCGGTCAAGGGCATGTACCTTGATTGCGGGCACATCCCCAGTGGGGGGTGTGCAAGAGGCAGCTGATTGATGATTCTCTCTCATCGATGTTTCTCTCTCACAAAGTAATATCTATGTGAGAGAGACACATTTTTATGATTTATAAAAATCAATAAAATATATTTAAAAAATAAAAAAATAAATTGTAGATTTTTATATTATGTGAATTATCTCAATAAAAAAAAATTGTTAAATCACCATGTAGAGGAAATGATACTCCCACACACCAAACTCCTATTTTCCCTAATCTTTTTTTTTTTTTAATATATCTTATTGATTTTTTACAGAGAGGAAGGGAGAGAGGGATAGAGAGCTAGAAACACTGACCAGCTGCCTCCTGCACACCACCCCCACCGGGGGACGCGCCCGCAACCAATGCACACGCCCTTGACTGGAATCGAAGCTGGGACCCTCCAGTCTCCATACCGACGCTCTATCCATTGAGCCAAACCGGCCTCGGCTATTTTCCCTAATCTTAATCACCCCAGGGTCAGGTATCACACGAGGAATAGCCCTACAGACCAAAGTCTGCTCATTACTGAAATGAACCAATCCTAGATTGTATCCTGCACCCTGCCTGTCTATCCCCAGGAGACACCACCGAGGCTCTGGCCTAGGCTTTCTCCTCACTCCTGCTTCTGCCTCCTGACCACCCCCAGGCGCTTTCCTCTGTGGCACTGCAAGGTGTGGCATTGCCCCTTCTCTTGGGAAATGTAAGTAATAAATTCCTCTTTCATTAGCATTGGCTTCTCTGGCTCTCCCTCAGCCACCTTCATAAATTCAAATCTCATGGGTACAAATGTGGCAGGGAGATTTGAGCTTTGAAGCCAAGCTTAATAAATAAGCCAGCGATGTGCCCTGGTCAGTTTGGCTCAGTGGCTGAAGCATCAGCCAGCGAACTGAAGGTTCTCTCGGGTTCAATTCCCAGTACGTTGGTTACAGATTCCAACCCCAGCTGGTCAGAGATCGTGCAGGAAGCAACAGTTGATGTGTCTCTCTCCTACTGAAGTTTCTCTCTTTCTCTCTCTCAAATATCCTCCAGTGAGGATTTAAAAAATATATAAAATAATAAAGCCAGTGATCAAGCAGGTAATAGAACTTATGGTCAAAGCAAAAACGTGGGACTAATTTTCTCTCTCAAAATGGTTTTGAAAGCAATTTCAAAAAAGTTCTAAAACTACTAGGAAATAAAATAAGTAAATAGCTTTCTATGGTAATAACTATGATGACTAACAACCACTTAATGTAAATTTTAATACCATCTAGAATCACAGTTTGCAAAGTTATGAAATGTCTTGATTCTATATTTATTCCCATTTTCTCATATATCACAGAATTAAATTAGTTACTTATGTAGGGAGACAAAACATTTTGATTTGCCCAAGACAGGTTTGTTTACATTTTCTTCCAGTAATCCAAAAATATATTCCTATATTCCTATGATGAAAACAATCCAATTTTCTGGCTGAGAGCTATTTATTATTTTATTTCAATGTTTAGGATATGGGAGAAGAGTACTCAAATAAATCTGTGTGTCTAAGATAATTTTTAAGAAATGAATAAAAAAATTAAATTCGTTATTCTCATTCTATATTCTTCCCAAATGTAAGGAAAACAACACTAGGAGACTTCACAGTGATGTTATTAAAAAGTTTACAGTTCGGTAATATTTTTATTTTTTACTTTACAGCATTTTTTACTCAAAAAATAAAACTGCATTATTCATACTGGCAATCTATAATAATAAAAGCGTAATATGTTAATTAGATCGGACAGCTGACAGACTTCTGGATATCATTCTGAACATTCTTTTGGAAGAAGCAGCTGCAGCAGGGGCCAAGGCACAAGCAGTAAGGGGCGATCAGGCAGAGGCAGTTAGGACCAATCAGGCAGGCAGGTGAGCAGTTAGGGGTAAGCAGGCGAGTGGTTAGGGGTGATCAGGCAGGCAGAGTGGTTAGGTGATATCAGGCAGGCAGGCAGGCAGAGCAGTTGGGGTAATCAGGCAGGCAGGTAGGTGAGCAGTCCCAGATTGCAGTGATTGGGCCTAAACCAGCAGTAGGACATCCCCTGAGGGGTCCAAGATTGCGAGAGGGTGTAGACCTAACTGAGGGACCTCTGCTTCTGTGTACAAATTTCATGCATGGAGCCTCTAGTATTAAATATGACTTTGGCTTCTTTAATATACTGACAATTATCCTATATAATAAAAACCTAAAATGCTAAGTGTCCGGCATCCATTCAACCAATCAAAGCGTAATATGCTAATGATATACTATGGCCACTCAACTGCTCACTATGATGTGCAGGGGGCAGACAGTCAACCAGCCAACCAGTTGCTATGATGTGCACTGACTACCAGGGGGCAGATGCTCCGACTGATAGATTAGCTTGCTGCTGGGGTCTGGCCAATTAGGACTGAGCAAGATGGGCCAGACATACCCTGAAGCCCTCTCACAGTCTCCTCCTCTCCCTACACCTTCTCCTCCCCACTCCCCCCCCACTGGCCAACCTTCCATGTCCCTCCCAGACTCAATCGTGCACTTGGTGGGTGCCCTCTCGCAATCTGGGACTTCCTCGGGGGATGTCTGAGAGCCAGTTTTGGCCCAATCCCACAGGCCAGGCTGAGGGACCCCATTGATGCACAAATTCATGCACTGGGCCTCTAGTTCTTAAATAAAAAGTCTTACCTTGTAGTCAGAGATATCAGGAGAATAATCGGATGTTAATTCCAAAAGCTAAAAACAAACAAACAAAAAAGTCCATAAATACATAAGTCCCATGGTCCCTATCCCTGAGAAAACACACAGAGCCTGACCACAAATCTGTAGCAAAACAGGGATTCCAGTGGTTTGGGGAAAAGGGGTGATACATATGGCTTTCTTTTATCGAACACTTGCTATATTCTAGACACTAATCTAAGCCATTTTTATTCATTTAAAAAACAATTACTGGCACCTATTATACACGAGGCATGAGAACATGAAAGATATGATCTGGCAGGAAGTGCGTGTATGTACACACACACACACGTGTGTACACACACACACTCTAATGAGTAATTTTTCTTGGAGGAAAAATAATATTTTTGTTGTAACTGCTGTTTTAAAACATACCTTAAATGCAATCTTTTCTCCAACCTGGGGGGCAGCTGCTAAGAGTGGTAACAGACTGTAGTCCTTTTGTGTCCGTACTGGATTCTGAAAAACAGTACTTATTAGTTATGTGACTTGGTTACTGGTGAGAAGATGTGAACCCATGACATCAACTCCAGACATGCTCTGTGGGGACCGGGGAAGTGGTAAACTCACAATAAAGACTACTTGCCTGGATGATAGTAGAAGAGTTTGTTACTGTCTCATTTAAATGCTGCTGCTTCTCATATTCAGCTTTATTCAAAACAAGGGGAACAGCAAGTCCTCGTCCTCGACCTCTTCCCCGCATGCCCCGACCCCGAATTCCCTTCCAAGAAAGAAGGTCCTCTCCTCTACCCCAACCTCTTCCCAAACTGGTAGGAACAGTCGCGCTGGGAGGACCCGGAGGGCTCTGTCTGCCACCATTTGAGTCAGAGTTCTTGCATCCAGGAGCGTTCAGAGTCTGTGCTGCAGGGCCCGGCCCCGGACGACCCCGGCCTGCAAGCAGGCCCCCTGGCTTCAAGAGCCCCGCTGTCTTCTCCAGGGAGCTCTTGGACGCGTCGCTAAGGTCATCTGAATCTGAACTGGAGCCTGAGCTGGAGTCCGAGGCTCTGGTTGTCTTGTCCTCGACGGTGGCAGAGTTGAAGGCAATTGTTGTAGCTACTTTGTTTGTAGTTGTGTTTTTTACAGAGGGCCCTTCCTTTGATAATGCAGTCGATACTTTCTCTGAGGACTTTCTGACCTCCAAGATGACATTGCTCAAAAGTTCGCTGGATGAATCATGACAAGACTCAGACTCTGAGGAGGAACTGGGACGACTATCTTTTGTAGGGACGTCGACGCCACCTTTCCTCTCGTCGACGCCACCTTTCCTCTTGGGTTTCACAAGGCTGCTTCGAGCAGGAGAACCTTTCGGAGGACTACACTTCTGCGCTGTCCGCTCTTTCACTGTCTGTGCTTTAGACCTGGGGTTCTGCGTCCGTTTTCTATATGTACGTTTCTTTGGCGATTTTCTCTTGGTCTCTTTGTCATCCTCATCTACTACATCAGGTGTGGCTTTGTATTTCCTTTTGTTTTTCCCCCTCCCATTCTGATCTGTGACAGCTTTTGGCTCTGGATCCAAAGCGTTCTCGTCTTTGTTGTCCTCTCGCCTCTTCCAATGCTTCTTTGAATTTCTGTCACCAGTTTCTTCATCCTCCTCCAACTTAAGTGACCGCTTCTTTGCTTTTCTAGGTAAGAAATGAGTACTATCACCGTTACTGACTATTACAGGATTCTCAGCGACTTCTCTCTCTTCTAATTTAACTCTATCAAAAGAACAAGAGAGAAAACAAGTGAGTGACTATGCTTCCAGGACGTTGTAATATATACTGAGATGACTGCAAACTGTCGCCGCCATCAGTCAATGAAAGATCATCAAATCGCTGAAGAACAAAGACTCTTTTTGACAAAATGGTTTATATATGGCATCACTTATGGTCATCTTTCAAAAGACTGCTTTTATTTATTGACTACCTACTGTGTCCCTAACATTTGCTAAACTGGGTAGTATTATCAAAATGCAAGGTATTCCCTTTAAATCTGCAATTTCATTTCTAGGATTCTATCATAAAAAATATAGCCCAGCCTTTGTGGTTCAGTTGGTTAAATGTCGTCCCATGCACAAGGAGGTGGCTGGTTCGATTCCCGATCAGAGCACATGCCCAGGTTGCAGGTTCAGTCCCCAACAGGAGACTTGCAGGAGGCAGCCGATCCATGTTTCTCTCATCATCGATGTTTCTCTCTCTCTCTCTCTCTCTCTCTCTCTCTCTCCCTCTCATACCTCTCCCTGAAATAAAATATATTATATGTATCTGAGGAGAGAAACCAAGATGACGGCATAGGTAAACGCCTAACTGCAGCCTCACACAACAATTTCAAAAAATACAACTAAAATATAAAGTGGACATCATCCAGAATTACAGGAAAGTTGACTGACTGCAAATTCTACAACTAAAAGGAAAGAGAAAACCAGAAGGAAAATCAGAGGAGCTGTAAAAGCCTAAGATACGGAGACACTGTGTGTACGTGGGGAGAAGACTGAGCCAGAGAGGAGGGGCGGCTGAGTGCCTGGTTGGTGTTCCCTAGCAGGAAGGAGATAGAAGCTCCGGACTGTGCTGAACCCCAGTTCTGACTGCAGTGAACCCCAGTTCTGGGTGAGACCCAGGCTCATACAGAGGGAATCTAGGCTGTAAAGCTGAGCGGCGAAAGGCAGTCCCGGAGTTGCACACATTGCGCACAGAGGACGGACTGTTGACTCTGCTGCTAGATTGCCCTAGCAGGAAGCAAACAAAAGCTCCAGACTGTGCTGAGCCCCAGTTCCAACTGCACTGAGCCCCAGTTCTAGACCAGACCCTGGGGACCCAAGCTCATATGGAGGGAATCTGGGCTATAAGGCGGATACTCAGGGGAGCGGCAAAGACAGAGTGCCAGAGTCGCGCACATTGTGCGCAGAGAACAGACTGTTGACTGTGCCACTGGATTGCTCTAATGGGAAGGAGACAAAAGCTCCAGACTGCACTGAACCCCACTTTCAACTGCACTGAACCCCAGTTCCGAGCTCATTGGTGGAGAGACTTGACTGTCTGGTAGTGGGCAAAACTCGAGGGCACATTTCTCTCAGAGGTTCTTGCAGCGAGTACCAAAGCAGCATATATATTTTTTAATTTCCCAAGGCATACTTAAAACGTTTGTTTTCCTATTCACAACCCAGAAGGTCCACACACCTAGCAAAGTGAGCCACAACACGCCCAGGAAGACCCAGAATGACACCCATCAGGAGTCTGGGGGGCTGTACAGGCTGCACGTTAGGAAGAGAACAAGGCTGGTCCCTCCCTCTGCTTGGCTCTCTTGCACCCCAGCCGCCAGGGGATGGCCGGCCTCAGGCAGGTCTGCACCGGGAGCACCTAATGCGGTGCCCAGCTGAATAAAAGAGTGCTAGCAAGCCCCAGCCGGTTTGGCTCAGTGGATAGAGCTTTGGTCTGCGGACTGAAAGGTCCCAGGTTCCATTCTGGTCAAGGGCATGTACCTTGGTTGCGGGCACATCCCCAGTGGGTGTGCAGGAGGCAGCTGGTGGATGTTTCTAACTCTCTAACCCTTCCCTTCTCTCTGTAAAAATCAATAAAAAATATATTTTTAAAAGAGCGCTAGCTGAGACCGGTTTGGCTCAGTGGATAGAGCGTGGTCCTGCAGACTGAAAGGTCCCAGGTTCAATTCCGGTCAAGGGCATGTATCTTAGTTGTAGACACATCTCCAGTGGGGGTGTGCACGAGGCAGCTGATCGGTGTTTCCCATCGATGTTTCTAGCGCGCTCTCTCTCTCTCTCTCTCCCTCTCCCTTCCTCTCTATAAAAAAAAAAAAATCAATAAAATATATACTTAAAAATAAATAAATAAATAAAAACAAAAAGAGCGCTAGCAGACCACGGCGGGAAGGAACCCGCGCCCTGCCCTTAGGCGACATCAGGGCTTTCCCAGCTCGCTCCACCATCCACCCGCATCCCACGCCTCGGGAGGGATGCCCGTTACCTGGCGCCTTCCGGACCCTCCTCCCCGACTCATCAGAATCTCTGCGGGCCTGGAGGGCGCGGTTTCAGGGTCTCACCGCGTCCCCATGCCCGCCCCTCACCCACCCCGCTCCACGCGCGGCCGCCAGAGCCTGCGGCTCCGCTGGACCGCCGCGCGCACCTGAGGCAATCGTTGTCGCGGACCAGGCGCGCGCTCTCGCCGTGCGGCAGGAGCCCCCCCTCCAAGTAGAGGCTGAGGAGGGCCCCGGAACTGAAGCCGAAGCGCTGGCGGATGAGACTAATGAGATCCGTGACTACCCGGCACCGGTTCAAGTCGACCAGAAGCCAGAAGTCCATGCAGTGCGGGGTGGCTGGCGGCGGGTAATCAAATCGGAGCCGTAGCCTAACAGTCTCGGAGGCTGCCATCTTGCTCGGTGCTCTACGGAAGCCGAGACGCGCCACAGCGCTCCCCGGAGGCGTGCTCGGGCGGCCCGCCCCCGGCAGCCGCCCGCCGGGCGCCACCTATGGGAGGCAAGTGGCTATTACAGCCTTCGTGAATGGCAACTCAATTCAGTTCAGTCCAGGCTAAACAGACCAATAAATAAAATCCCCTTAGCCTTTCCTACCGAGTACTATGTAGAGTGTCAGTTTGGGCATCTCTCCGTGTAAATTCTCTGATAAAGCAATTCTCAGCAGTTGTCTTCTAAGATATTAGCTAGTCTACGCAAAGAATGTTTTTAAACTCCCAAATACATTTGGTTGACAAACTTTTCATCATAGATGTCGTTCCTAGTGTATTGTGAATATTAACATTAAAAAAATTAATCATCCTCTTAAAAGTGGAATTTAAAGTCCTTAGCAGTTTAATTCCTACCACCATCCACATTAAAATATAAGCCCTAACCGGTTTGGCTCAGTGGATAGAGCGTCCTAGGTTCGATTCTGGTCAAGGGCACATACTTTGATTGCAGGCACATCCCCAATGGGAGGTGTGCAGGAGGCAGCTGATCGATATTTCTAGCTCTCTATCCCTCTTTCTTCCTCTCTGTAAAAAAATCAATAAAATATATTTTTAAAATATATAAAAACAGGCTCTCTTATTAATCTGTAATCAGAAATTTTACATCATTCAATTCCATTCCATTTTCCTACATATTAACTCTTTTAGTTTTCATGACAAAGTTATGAATTATTATTATTACTATTCCCATTTTGAAGATTAAAAGTTCAGAATAGTTAAATACCAAGGTTACTGGACTAGTAAAGGACCACCTATGTTAAGATGGTTACCTATGTCTTTTCTCTGGCCCAAATATCAGTGCCCTCTCCCTTCACTGGCAAGACTCTGCCATTTCACAGAGCTTCAGATAAAAACATCTGTCCATTTATGACAGGCAGAGGGGAAGGACAGGGAGGGGAACAGGACAGAGAGAGGCCTTGTCACTTGTATTTTGTTTTTCTGTTTTGTGTTTTTCATCGTGCAGTTTATTTTTTTCATCGTGCACTTTAGAGCCAGTACTTAGAAGTATAACCTGACCATCTTACAGCCCCTACATATTCTTGTTTCCTAGCTCAGTGGATGAGTTATTCAGCACACCCTAAGATAAACATGACCTTTACACACACACACACACACACACACACACACACACACACACACGAAAACATGCCTAGCACTCTTTTTCTCTTTTCCCCTTCCCAAACCTCCAACACCCTCTTTAAAATGACTGTCTTGAAGGAGAGCAGAACACAGGGGGAACAGCAGCAGTGGAGGCCGGCTGGGCTCCGGCAGCAGATCCTCAGCTGAACTTCCCGCTCCAGGGGCAAAGGAACCCTGTGCCCCAACTCTCCTTGCTGCTCCTTCCCCAGAGATGGGCTGTAGCATGGCACCATGGCACTGGCATCGCCCCTCTTCTTTCTGTCCCCGCTGGATTATTGGCCCTCTTCACCCCTGGGCATCGCAAAGATGGCAGGTTCATGTCTGCAAGCATCCTGATGATGAGCATCGTGGGACCCATTGCTGCTGGACTCTTGACAAGTGCAGTCATTGCTGGAGCGAACCAAGCTTTGGGGAAGGACATGATACCCTTTGAAGCCCTCGCCTTGGGCACTTGGACATGTGTTTTGTGCAGTAGTAGTTTCCCTTTTATGGCTTTTAGCTACTCTATAGCATATACCCTTATGCAAGGATGTCAAACCTATGTTTTATAGAATTCTCAGAAAGGATACAATGTGGAATGCAGTGTTTTCTGAGTTCTTCCAATGGAAGCAACTTGGATGTTGAAGTATGGAAAGAACAGATCCGGCCCTTTCTTCAATTGGAAGCTCCAGGAATCAAAGATCTGTTTGGATTCCTATTGTTCTCAACCAAAACAGACCAAGTTTTGTTTTGTTTTGAAATTTAATGTAAGCAGTTTTACATGTGCATCTTTACCCAAAGCCACGTCAACAGTGCTTCTGGATTAGCAGCATATACTGCACTAAATCTTATTGTTCTAAAACAAATAAACTAATTAATTAATTAATTAATTAACTGTTGTGAAGATGATGTTAACAACACAGAATAATGCTGATGACAAATTATTAAGAGAAAATAAACAAATAACTTTATTATTGTATTTTATGTTTTTTATATATTTTATTGATTTTTTTTTACAGAGAAGATGGGAGAGGGATAGAGAGTTAGAAACATAAATCAGCTAAGGTACATGCCCTTGACCGAAATCAAACTTGGGACCTTTCAGTCCGCAGGCCAACACTCTATCCACTGAGCCAAACCGGTTAGGGCTATTATTGTATTTTAAAAACACTAGAGAAAACAATATCCCAGATGCCAACAATGGTTATGTAGGATCTATCATTTTTTTTCCTCAACTTTCCAAAATGTCCATAATATAGATAACTTCATAAGAAAAAATAATTTTTAAAAATCTCTGAAAATGGAATCCCACATCAGCTTCATCTGATTTGGGGCAGACGCAGCAGATTTTGAAATGCCAGGGCTTTTATAGGGAAACTAAGAGATGGGCAGGGCGGGAAGGACGATCTTCATGGGTATTTTCCTGTAGCGTCTCAGTTCTGCCGCACAACTGAGGTCAAGTGCATTCCACATCTCTTCCTCTCCGCTCTGTCCTCCCAACACGGCAAAGAACCATGTGGAGGGGCAGGCAGACCATGCCACCCAGAACCGTGCCAGGGCTTGTCCTGTCCTGCAGAGGGCGCCCCGGACACTGCCAGTCGCCTCGCTGCTCAGGCCCCGCCCCACTCCGGCCCCAGACCACCGAGTCTCCGCCCCCACTCAGACCCCGCCCCCGACCCAGTCCAGGCCCCGCCCACGCCGTCACGTGCTGGTGCACCAGGTCCAGCCTATTGCTGCTGCTGCAGCGCCTTATTCGTCATGGAGCTGGCACCGCGGGTCTGTCTCCTGTCCCTGCCGCTGCTGCTGCTTCTGGGCCTGAGCGCTGGTAGGTTCGGGCACAGGATGTCTCAGGGACCGGTGCCTTCTTCTCTCCCCAGGGATGAGCGTCTGCTAGTACGTTTGTGCCTTTGAAAGCAAATCTCTTTTTCCTCTGTGATTTTGAACCTCTCGACTAGTTCTGTTGGTTTGTTCTCTAATTGAAAGTGCTTTTCTACCCCCCTTTTCCCTCCTCCCCTCCCCCCTTTTTTTGGCTCTGGGTGGTCTGATAATACTCCCTTCTACCCTAGATAGAAACGGTTGTGGGAAATGTATGATTTGGAGAAACTGCTGATCAAATGAGGTTTCCACGATCTTAACGCCACTCACCTCCTTGCCGCCCTCACTGGCTGTTCAAAAAGACTGAAAAATCCTACCCAGAATGGGCCGTTTCATTGAGAGAAGGCCTTTCCCCCTCTACTTGATCAGAGCGGACAAAATAATGTCTCCCCCCCCATCAAGGCTCTTTTTGGCAAAAACAAATCCGTGTTTAAAGGGTGACTTGCAAACAGATTTTCAGTCTCTCTCTCCCCCGCCCAGCAAAAATGTTTCCTGGTCTGAATCAACAGAATTCTACTGGCCACAAACTTGCCTTATGATCTTAGGCAAGTTGCTTAATAACTGTTTTTTCCTTTTTTTTTTTTTGTAACATGGGGATCATATGCCCTTCAGTTTGTGTCTGGGAAATGTTGTCAAGTATGTTGAACCCCAAATGTTAACAGTGATCAGGTCAGAGAGGGCATAGGTCAAAAGGGACCCCACCTTTATCTATCTGTCATTTTCAAAGAGACCGAATTCTTTTTTCTTTTCTTATATTTTATTGATTTTTTACAGAGAGAAATATTGACCAGCTGCCTCCTGCACACCTCCCACTGGGGATGTGCCCGCAACCAAAGCAAACGCCCCTGTCGGGAATCGAACCTGGGACTTTTCAGTCCGCAGGCCGACGCTCTATCCATTGAGACAAACTGGTTTGGGGGAGACTGAATTCTTATGTTATTTGTACATAGACATATCTAATATCCTAGCAATTCTGTTTTTCTCCTCAAGACACTTTTTGCTTTTCTTAATCTTTAGCCTTATCAGTTACAAACAGCATTATCTCCTCATCTACTTCTTTCTCAAGACCAGTTTTTTGTTCTTTTACTTGCTGCAGAGGCTTGAAATTTAAGCAAGGAAGAAGTAAAAGGTAGAAAATTCCAGTCACCAAGGGTAATCCCCAAGTCAGCCTTTTCCTCCTCATTGATGCATTCATTGGTTGATTCTTGTATGTGCCCCAACCGGGGATCGAACCTACAACATTGACATATTGGGATGACACCAACTGAATTATCTAACCAACTGAATTACCTACCTGGCCAGGAATTGGTTTGTTTTTTTTTCCATAACTGAAGGTTTCCTTATTTTCATAATATATTGGAGTAAGTACATTGCCTAAAATATAAACCAAGCCGAAACCGGTTTGGCTCAGTGGATAGAGCATCAGCCTGTGGACTGAAGGGTTCCAGGTTTGATTCCGGTCAAGGGCACGTACCTTGGTTGCGGGCACATCCCCAGTGGGGGCTGTGCAGGAGGCAGCTGATTGATGTTTCTCTTTCATCAATGTTTCTAACTCTCTGTCCCTCTCCCTTCCTCTTGGTAAAAAAAACTAAAATAAATATTTTTAAAAAATAAAATAAAATATAAACCAGGTCATCTCTAGTCTGGCACGGCCACCTTTACTGGACTTGGAATTTATCCGATCATTAGACATCCTTCAGGAAAAATCAAATTGTGCTTCTGTTTCAGGAGCCACCGTCGACCTGCCCCCAGACGAAGGCAAAGAAGTATGGGATTACGTGACGGTCCGGAAGGATGCCCACATGTTCTGGTGGCTCTATTATGCCACCAGCCCCTGCAAGAACTTCACAGAACTGCCCCTGGTTATGTGGCTTCAGGTAAAAGTGGCTTCGCTGCTTGGCCAGGCTTGAGGCCACGTTTCCCTCACTTAACATGTTGCTTGCTCTTAAAGGCTCACAGCTCAGCCATTGATCAAGGACTGATCCAGCAGCCAGCCAGGGGTCTCCTCGGGTCGGGGATCAGTACCCTTCTGAAGTAGGCAAAGGCCGTGGTACCCCAAGGGGGGCAAATCGGAGTGAGGGGTTCTAGTACCATGTTTGTTTGTTTGAGCCCAAGCAGTGGCAGAAACCTTTACCAGAAGCTTCTGAAGACAAATTTGACTATATACTGATAGAAAGTTCCAAAGCAGCCGGAACCGGTTTGGCTCAATGGATAGAGCGTCGGCTTGGGGACTGAAGGGACCGGGATTCGATTCCGGTCAAGGGCATGTACCTTGGTTGCGGGCATATCCTCAGTAGGGGGTGTGCAAGAGGCAGCTGATCGATGACTCTCATTGATGTTTCTAGCTCTCTATCTCTCTCCCTTCCTCTCTGTACAAAATCAATAAAATATATATTAAAAAAAGAAAAGAAAGAAAGAAAGTTCCAAAGCAAAGGCTGAGGTACCCTGACCGGCTCCTCTCATCCCTGTTTCCCAATCCTTTCCCAGACCCTAACTTCTTGCCCCCAGAAAAACGGGTCTTTTGAAAGCACTCAGCCTCTCGTATCTTAGCATTGAACGTTGGGCCTTTTCCTTCTCCCTAGATGTGTCTGTGTTCTGATCCCAAGCTCTGCTTGCAGGATGAAAGGCATGGAACTGGCTAAGAGGCATTTGGGGGCAGGCAGAGGATTCTTCCCTGCATTCCTAAAACATCTGTCCAGAGGTGGCCCACACCCACCTGGAAGACCAGTCTCCCGGGAGGCGTTGAGGAACATGGTCTTGCTCAGGCTCTAGAAACTGTAGGCCTAGCCCCGCTGGGGCTCCAGGTTGCTCACCACAAAATGGGGCACCCTAGTCCTCACTTGGGTAGGATGCAAATGTCACTTCTTGCAAAAAAAACGCCAGTCATCCTAAGCAGCCTCCCAGTGCCCCGGGCCCATGCTGGCCTTCTGGTGAGATAGAGCAAAGATGAGCAGTGTGCCAGGAGGGGCCATTCTCTCATGATTACCCAAGCAGCTCCTTGGATGAGCTGGAGGTGAGGCTCAGCCAAGGGTGCAGCTATGAAAATGCCGCAGAAGCACCCATATGTGTAGCCCGGAAACTTCGGGCCACCCCGGTGGCAGGTTGTTGGGGAGAGCCCTGCCGAGGCCAAGCCCAGGTCCGCCATTCACGGGACCCGGGTACCCGATGCCTTCCTGCCGCTTAGAGCGATGGCAGGAAAGACACTTCCCTTTTCTGGGCTTTGCTGTCTAATCCGGGGTATTTTGTTACAACTTTTCATTAATTTAGCAGAACTTCCCCATCCCCGAGTGAAAGCTTGCTTAGGAGCAAAAGCGGAAGTGCTGAGGCTGGGGTGGAGCCAGGGCTGAGTCCCACCCTCTAGACCTCCCCTCGGTCACGCGCTGCCCTCAGGCACTTTCTGGAATTGCAATTTGAAAACCACTGAGCTTAGAAGATGCAAACCTTCCCTGTGGTTGATGGCAGAGCAGGGTCCTTGTTTTATCTGATTAACTTGCCAACGTGTAAAAAGTCAGGAGTTGTAGCAGCAGCTTGGGGGCCTGAACTCCCTGTCCCAAAGCGGCGTGGCAGGGGTCCCCTTTCAGGGAGGGCAGGAGCTCCTGGAGGAGGGAGCCTTCGCTGGCACCTGATTTCTCTCCATGGTAAGGTGACCAGACGTCCCGCTTTTGGCGGGACAGTCCCGATTTTTAGCAATTTGTCCCGTGTCCCACGGCGTTTTAAAAAACTTTTTTAAAATGCCACGGGACAAAATTGTTAAAAATTGTTAAAATTGTTAAAAATCGGGACGTCTGGTCACCTGGTCCAGTTTGTGACTGTGTTCCCGGGTCCTGTCTTGCGACGCCCAAGAATGAGCTCCACGGACCAGAGGATTTAAGTAAAAGTAATTCATTACAAAGCAGATTCAGACTTCCCCCCTCCCACGGGGAAGGGGCACAAAGAATGGGTTGCCAATGAGGCAAGTTGTCCTAGGAGTATCTGTGTGCTGCAAGCCTGCGTCATAGCTATTCCTGTCACTACCTGGTAGATTTCCTCATTGTTTGTGCCCAGCAACCTGAACCTTCTCCGTTTCCGTGTGCACGTACACATTGTTTATTGCAGGCCCTCCCTGGGTCTCCCACGCCTTCCGCTCCATATTCAGCGGAAACACTTCATTTTCTTTTTCAGCTTGGTTGGTTTCTGTTCTTAGGCTTGCTTGAACTGCCGAGTCTGCCCCTGTCTATGTTCTTTTTTTTAATTTTTATATTTTATTAATTTTTTAGAGAGAGGAAGGGAGAGGGATAGAGAGTTAGAAACATCGTCGAGAGAGAAACATCAACAAGCTGCCTCCTGCACACCCCCTACTGGGGATGTGCCCGCAACCAACGTACATGCCCTTGACCGGAATCGAACTGGGACCTTTCAGTCCGCAGGCCGACGCTCTGTCCACTGAGCCAAACGGTTTCGGCCCTGTCTGTGTTCTACCTGCCTTTGTTTCCCACGGGACACCTGCCCTATGTGCCTTCTCTCTGTGACCTTTGGTTAGCATGACCCCGGGAACTGAGATGCTATTGGAGGAATATCCCCTGGCCAAGTAACTGATCCCCTCTTCATTTCCTCAGAGGCCCCAGGGAGAGGGAAAAGGTTCTGATTAAAGAACAAATAAATTACTAGTTCAGATGAAAAGATCTATTTTCGCCACCCACCGAGGCGACGTGCGCTGACTGCTCTGGGCAGGTCTCTGAGAATCCGGGTCACGCCGTCTGAGTGGAGCCGTGAGCAGTTCCATTCAGCATGCCACTTGGCTCACTGACACATTTACCGTGTTTCGGGGCCGCTGGGGTGTCCCTGGCCACGACAGCACCCCGCCCCAGAGTTCCAGACGAAGGTTTGGCAGTCAGGTGTGCTCACACAGCAGCAGTGTCCTCCAGCCAGCCTCCCGTGCCCTTGGCTGGGGTGGTCACCTCCCAACGCCACAATAGAGCATCCGAAACAGAGCCGGGGGGCGGGGGGCAGTTCTCCTTTATTCGAGGGTCACAAGTCCCGGAGTCCAGTCCTGGTAGAGCCCCTGTCATTGCCATGTCCCCTTCCTGGGCCTTAGTGCTCGTCTTTGAGGGAAGAGCTAGGCAAAGTGCCCGAACGTCAGTGAGTCCATGGTTGGCCAGGATTCACGTTTGGTGAATCAGAGGTAGGAAAGTTCCCTGTGGGGGCTCTTGGCCCGGGTCTGTACCGTTTAAAATGTATTTTTATTGATTTCAGAGAGGAAGGGAGAGGGAGATATCGATGATGGGAGAGAATCATTGATCGGCGATATCAATGATGGGAGAGAGTCATTGATCGGCTGCCTCCCCCACGCCCCGGGTGTGTCCCTTTCTGAAAGATGTCAGCCGCTCGCCGGGGCTCAGTTCGTGCAGAAGTGCCTGGTTCGCCAGGTAAATTGTGCCTTCATGCAGGGTCGGCGCAGCCATCGCTGAATCATAAAAATCGTTCATAGGGAGGGTGGGCGTCGTCGTCATCATAATTACGATTTTACTAACCTTTTCTCAGGATTAATGTTTGTTTCTTTTCTCTTCCTCAGGGTGGTCCGGGCGGATCCAGCACTGGGTTTGGTAACTTTGAGGAAATCGGACCGCTTGACTGTGATCTCAAACCACGAAAGACTACCTGGGTACTGTGGGCATGGCCTGGCCTCGCCCCGGGCTCACCCCATGCTGGGCTGAGTCACAGGTTTAGCAGCCCTGTCCCTCAGCACCCCCACCTCCACCCCCCTCCCACCCCCCATCTCTCTTGCCTTTGTGACCTTTCTCTCCACTTGCCCACAGAAGCCACTCTAGCTACCCACACTTTGGCTGTCTCTGCAGTCTGACTCAGGGTCCCACCCTCTGGCCACAAGCTCCCATCCTTTCCTCTGTCTCCTCTCCTCCACCCCTGCCTCTTGACTTCAAGACTTCAAGCCCCCCGTCCTCTGCCCTTTTGATGTCTTTCTGGTCTCCCGTCTCCCCCTCTTATCTTCATTCCCAGCTGCACTTCCTCCCCTAAACCCTCCCAGCACCCCAACCCCAGTCCCTGGCTCCCTTATCCTTCTTCCTCTACAGCCTCTCCACACCCAACCTTGGGTTGGTCCCACTGTCTCCCTGCTCAGGTCCTACCCTCGGCCCCTACCCCAGGGCTGCCAAAAACGGGAGGGCAAAACCTCACTGTTGTCAAGGTGGGCTGCCGCCCAGTTGTGGGCTTAGTTCAGGGCCTGGCCACGCTCTGCTCTGCTCCTTCCCCAATACCACTGGCTGCTCATGTTCCCCACCTTCCTTGGGGCTCCTGCTCCAGCCATTCTCCCTCCCCGGGAGCCATCCTACCTCTCTGCCTCCCCGGGAAAAGAGCCATCACATGTCATCAGCTATTTCCTGTCCTCGCCAATGAGTGTACTTATCTTTCTGCCCCTCCGACTCTCCTCTCCTCCTGCCCGTCTCAGAACAGCGAAGCAGCTGGTCCCTGCTGGGCTCACTTAGCATCTTCCTGTTTCTTCATGTTCCCGCTAGTCTGTCTTCCAAACTGGAGGTCTTTCCCAGTGAAGTACAAATTCTCCGGACCCCACAAGTCCACCAGCTAACCCCCTTTCTTACAGAATTGTTTGTATTTACTGTTCTTTACCCAGAGTTTACCACCCGGATGCTACAGTGTTGACTGACCCTCAGAGCTGGGTCTGAGGCCCTAGGGAACCCAGCATATTAACTAATGCTTGGATGTGGTGCATGTATTCTTTCCCCTGTGGCCATGGCAGGGTTGGGAAGCACTGCCCTAACCCACTGCAGTTTGTCCCCATCACTTGGGCTATAGCCGTTATCCCCAAGGGTATGCTGGCTTCCCAGCTCCAAGCCATGAGGTCCTTGTTGCCATTCATCTTCATGGGACTCCTATGCAGCTCTGTTGGCAGGTGCCATTCTTACGTGTTCGATCTCCCAGCACACTGTCCTTGGTTTACTTGCTTCTGTGTGTGCTTCAGCAGCCCCATCCTCTAATGTCCCACAGAAGGTGATGGCCCCCAAGTCAGTGTCTATAGCTCAGAACTTTTGCCCCAGAACTTTTTTATTTTATTTTATTGATTATGGTATCACAAAATTGTCCTCATCCCCCCATTCCCATCCCAAACCCCTCCCTACGTATGCCTCCACCCCCCTGTTGTCTATGGCCACTGGCTAGGCCCATATGCATGCACACAAGTCCTTTGGTTGATCTCTCTCCCTTACCCCCAACCTCCCCTACTTTCCCTCTGAGGTTTGAGAGTCTGATCGCTGCTTCTCTTTCTCTGGGTCTGTTTTTGTTCATCAGTCTCTGTTGTTCATTATTTCCTCTAGATGTGTGAGATCATATGATCCAAGAAATACCCTTGTAAGAACCGAAACTGAAACAAGCCATAATGGTTATGCTGAGAGGCAAATGAATCAGTCTGTAGTGAGTTCCTTTCTGGGCCCACCGTTCTTTTGAGTCCCAATTTCAATGTCAAACAGTTCCTTATGCGTACATGTCAGCCATGATATTTCAGATCTGGTTGGTGGACAAATGGTGGTGATGCAGGCCCGACCTTCTCTGGTTTGGTCCTGGGCATCCTTCAGCGACACGCAGCTGCTGTCTGCTAGTATGGCGAAGCGTCGTCAGCATCTTCCATCTCTGAACTGTTTCTCTTCTGTCTTCATGGCTTGCCCTAGAACTTTTTTGCCTCTTGCCTCTTAGATGTCTCCATGTGGATGCCCCTCATACATACTCAGCGTATCTCAAACTGGGGTCATTATTTTGTGTCCTACACCAGACCCTCCATCTGCTCACAAAACCAGCCAACTTCCTGTTTTCAGTAAACGATATCTCCAGCCCTCACCAGTTTGGTTCAGCGGATAGAGCATCGACCTGCGGACTCAACGTCCCAGGTTCGATTGCAGTCAAGGGCATGTACCTTGTTGCGGGCACATCCCTAGTAGGGGGTATGCAGAAGGCAGCTGATTGATGTTTCTCTAATTGATGTTTCTGACTCTCTCCCTCTCCCTACCTCTCTAAAAAAAAAAAAAAGGAAGAAAGAAAGAAAGAAAGAATGATACCTCCATCCACTCAGGCGCCTAAGCCACAAATGGGAGAGCCACCCTGTTCTTCCTTGTCCAATCACTTTTGCCTAAAAATGAATTTTTTTAAAAAAAGAATATCTTTTTATTATTAATTTTTTACATCCTGTCTCTCCCCCTCCCTTCCAAGGGAAAAATATCCTTGGGGCGAAACTGGTTTGGCTCAGTGGTAGAGCGTCGGAGTACGGACTGAAAAGTCCCAGGTTCGATTCCGGTCAAGTACATTAGTTGCGGGCACATCCCCGGTAGGGGGTGTGCAAGAGGCAGCTGGTCGATGTTTCTAACTCTCCCTCTCCCTTCCTCTCTGTAAAAATCAATAAAATATATTTTAAAAAAGAAAGAAAAAAAAGAAAGAAAGAAAAAAAGAAAAATATCCTTGGGGGAAGATTAACAACGACACAAAAGATCGTTGGTGACTGCCTGCCTGATTGGAGCATTCGCTTTTCCTCTGTGGCATGCAGCTCCAGTCTGCCAATCTCTTGTTTGTGGACAACCCCGTGGGCACCGGGTTCAGTTACGTGAGCAAGGACGGCGAGTATGCCAAAGACCTTGCCACAGTGGCATCGGACATGATGGTTCTCCTGCAGTCCTTCTTCAGTTGCCGCCCGGAGTTCCAGGTGAGCAGAGCCTCGGGAACAGCCGAGCAAGGGGTTATCGGTAGTGACACTGTGCCCACCAGAACCAACTTCTCCCAGCACAGCGCCCGGCTCATTCATTTCTATGCCCCAGATTGGGTTGTGGGCTTTGGTTTCTCTCTTCACTCAAGGTGGTTTCTAGCTTGAAGGGGTGACCCTGGGGCCAGTATTCTAAGCAGACAGAGTAATCAGAGATGGGGGAGGGAGAGGGACAACGCAAAGCGGATTTGTCAGCCCGTGACGTGCATTAGAAATTTGAAATCAATTCTTGTGCGTAAGAAGATATTCAGGATGTTCCGTTCTCTGTCAATTCCTTTTCTTGCTAGACGATCCCATTCTACATCTTCTCAGAGTCTTACGGAGGAAAAATGGCTGCTGGCATTGCTCTGGAACTTCATAAGGTAACAAGGAAGATGACACTGTCGTCTTGGTTTCACACAGAAACGGATTGTTTTAACATCCGTTTTTAAATGCCCACGGAGGTCAATAATTTCCTTAGGAGTTTTCAAATGATGCTTTTCTCCTGTGGTTCTGTCACTTCTGTTAGATGCTGTTCCCCAGGAAGTGGAACTTGTCCTCCTCATCAGGGACTAGTTAGTAACTTGAAATAAATTCCTTCTGGAAAAAAACAGAAAAAAATGCTAATTCTTTCACTTTCATGACCAACGTTCAAAGTCAGGATATTCATTGTTTTCTTATTTTAGATATCTGAATAGCTTGTGCAGTCACATTCAAAATTCAAAAACTAGCCCTAACCAGTTTGGCTCAGTGGATAGAGCGTCGACCTGTGGACTGAAGGGTCCCAGGTTCAATTCCAGTCAAGGGCATGTACCTTGGTTGTGGGCACATCTCCAGTGGGGGAGAGGGGTGTGTGCAGGAGGCAGCTGATTGATGTTTCTCTCTCATCTGATGTTTCTAATTCTCTATCCATCTCCCTTTCTTTCTGTAAATAATAATAATAATAATAATAATAATATATTTTAAAAACAACAAAAAAAATCCAAAACTATACAAGGGGTAATGTAACACTCTCTCCCTTGCCTCTGTCCCCCTTCCCTAAGACAACCTCTGTCATAAGTTTCTTCTGTACTTTTCCAGCGGTATGTCATGCCTGTGAAAGCTAATTCACATATATTCTTTTTTCCTATTTCTGTACAAATGATAGTACACACTATATACTATATTATGTCTCTTTTTACTTCAACAATATAGCTTAGAGATGTCTTCATATCAGTTTATAAAGAACTAATTTTTTTGTTCGTTTTTATTTGTTTTTATCCTCACCCAAGGATATTTTTCCCATTGATTTCTAGAGAGAGTGGAAGTGAGGGAGGACAGGGAGAGAGACACACAGAGAGAGAAACATTGACGTGAGAGAGACACATTGATTAGTTGCCTCCACGCGCCCGAACCAGGGCTGGGGAACCTGCAACCTAAGTACATGCCCTTGACTGGGAATTGAACCCAAGACCAGTGCTCTAACCACTGAGCAACTGGCCAGGGCTTCATTGTTGTTTTTTTAAATCACATCATATTGGAAATGGTCATAATTCATTTAGCCTATCCTATGATATGCAGATTGTTTCCAATTTCCTGCTACTGTATTACTGTTAAATGAAAAATGGGGGGTGGGGGGCGCAGGGCAAAGGAGGATGAGCACCTAGTCTTAAGGTCTTCTCCCAGCCCTTCTGTGACTGTAGCATGGGCAGTGAGGATTGTACCCCAGGAGCCCTCTGAGAAATCGGACCTTGGGGCAGTGTCCCTCCTAAAAAGATAGGGATGCGCCAGACCCGCGCACACACCCTGCCAACACCCTTGTGAAACACGTAGAGAGAAACTCAACAGTTCCCATTCACTTTGCAAAGGTTGTCAGGAAAGGGTTGCTCTGGTCCTCTGGAGGGTGTCGGGGGTCTTCAGGCACTGGGGATGCTCGGGAAGGGCGGGCAGACGTTTTCTGGGCTCCGGAAGGCGGCGTGGGAAGACGGGGCTCCCTCCTGTTGAGTCCCTTTGGCAAGGATGTTTCTTGGCTCCTCCTCTTGCAGGCCATTCAGCAAGGGACCATCAAGTGCAACTTTTCTGGGGTTGCTCTGGGCGACTCCTGGATCTCCCCTGTAGGTAAGCATGGAATTTGTAGACATTCCTTTACTTCCTTTCCCCACCCTTCCCTGGAACTTTGGGCTGTGTTATCCCAAAAAAGAACAAGGTAACGGGATTTCTCTGAGTCCTTGGAGAAGTGAACACAGAATGGCCCAGGGCCATCCAAGAAATTTGGGGAGGTGAACTCCTTTACCCAGCATCCACCCTGGGCTGCTACGGACTGAACTTAATCCTCTTATTTGATTCTTATAACAAAAGAATCCAACTTTACAGTTTGGAGACAATTCTAAAGCGAGCATGTCATACTCACAGCCCTCAGACCCCATGCGGCCCATAACGAGTATTTTTGCAACCCAGCCACTATAACGGTGTGAGCAGTTATTTACAATTATGAGAGGAAGTAGGTCTCCTGTCAGATCTAGAATTACTGACACTCACCTTGGGTCAATTTTGAAAGTAATCACTGAGAATGAGATTTCCCCCGAAGTAGGAAAGATAGTAGCAAGGAGAGATGCCAAGTGCCAGGGAGAAAACTTTAATTTGATCATGGCTCTTGTTCTTTTTTTCTTTCTTTTTTCTTTTTTTTTTTTTTATTCTATACTTTTCAAAATAAACCTATGTTTCTATGAAAATTGAAGCTTTTGGGTTTTTGTGGCCCATATAAACTTACCCCTTGTTTATCTGGCCCGAGTTAGCCTTTGAGTTTGACATGCTTGTTCTAAAGGCCCGAGGGGGGGATGGAATTCTGACACACAGAATGAGGGGCGTGGTCAGGAATCAAACCCAGGTCTGTTTATCATCTTGTCCCCTGATGTGAGCATGAGCATTGGGGTGAACGTCTCACCTGTTGCTCATGTTGATGAGATAAGATTAGCATCGGGTGCTGCAACTCAGGTGCACAGTTTCACAACTTGAGCATCCGTAGGGAGTACAAATAAAAGTTGTTTATGTTGCAGACATCCGGGGTGTGGCTTCAGACATCTAAAATAGTCACCTTGCCTGACCGGTGTGGCTCTGTGGTTGAGTGTCGACCAATGAACCAGGTCATGGTTTGATTCCTGGTCAGGGCACATGCCCAGGCTGTGGGCTCGCTTCCCTAGAAGGAAGCATTCAGGAGGCAGCCGCTCAGTGATTCTCTCTCATCATTGATATTTCTATTTCTCTCTCCTTCTCCCTCCCTCTCTCTGAAATCAATAGTCATATAAAAACCTGAATGGGTTCACCCTAACATAGGATTCAAAATCTCAGTCCTGTAGACATTTGGGTCATATAATTCTTTGTGGGGAGAGTTCCTGTGCAGTGTAAGACCCTCTCTGCCCTCTGGATGCCAGTGTTTTCACTCCAGTATGACTTTCCAGACATTATCAAATTACCCCTGGTGGAGAACTACCGCTCTGACCTAACAAAAGCTGACTTTTCACAGGCAAAACCAAATTATAAAGTTAGGAATCAGAAGAGAGTTGCCCGTGGAGGAGGGAGGGGAATAAGCTAGAAAGGGACATGAGGGACCTTTCCAGGCTGTTTGTGCTCCATCTCTTGACTGAAGTGGTCGTTACATGGGAGTGAATGCATTTACAGAGCCATGTCCCTAATGGACTCAGGACATCCTGATGCCACTTTGAATGGTTATTTCTTGCCCTCATTCTGGCATCTCCAGGGAACAATGGCATAACTGAGATCTGAGTCAGCATTGAGAGGAGGGCTGCTGCTTGTTTGTCCTTCCTGGATGGACCTCCTAGGACATCAGGAAGCAGTGGATGCCTTGATCGGAAGCCCAAGAATCTAGCAGGATTCTTGCCAGATGCCTCACTCAAAATTACAGCACTGGCTCCTGTACTTCCTCTGGGGTCTCATCAGTTTCACAACAACACTAAGCACTTTGCAAGTGTTTACTTCGTGTAATCCTTACCACAGCTCCACGGGATCGATGCTGTTATTATCCTGATTTTAGAGATGATGAAACTCAGAGAGGTTAAGCAATTTTTCTCAAGTCACACAGCTAAAGCCAGGACTCAAATCCAGGCAGCAGGCCCTGGAATCCTTGCACTTAGCCATTACACTACATTTCCTCCCGTAGACCAGTAAGTTGAACCTCATGGCCTTACAAGTGCTGTTCATCTTGTCCAAAATCCTTCCACCTTGCCATGTCCCACCTCCCCTCATGACTCTTCCTGTCCAGCTCTTAGTCCCTCCTTCCAGACCACGTTAAGTATCATCCCTTCATTCCAGAAGTACCCCCCTGTTGAGGGAGAAATACTGTTAATTTCACAAACAATTATGACTGGCTTGCTGGGTAGTAGGTATTGTGTCAGGTGCTGGGAAAGACATACAGGTGTGTTTCATGTTCTCGGTTCAGTGTTGGAGCCATAGAACTACTTGTGATTATTTAAATTTATTTTTTTTAAATATTTTTTTTATTGATTTTTTACAGAAAGGAAGGGAGAAGGATAGAGAGCTAGAAACATCAATGTGAGAGAGACATCGATCAGCTGCCTCCTGAACACCCCCCACCAGGAATGTGCCCGCAACCAAGGTACATGCCCCTCACCGGAATTGAACCTGGGACCCTTCAGTCCGCAGACCGACACTCTATCCACTGAGCCAAACCGGTTTCAGCATGACTATTTAAATTTAAATTAATTAAAATATAATGAAAATTTTTTCCTTCTTTTTTATTTTTTTAAAATTTATTTCAGAGAGAGAGAGAGAGAGAGAGAGAGAGAGAAACATCAACTATGATAGAAAATCATCAGTCAGCTGCCTTTGCACACACCACACTGGGGATTGAGCCCGCAATCTGGGCATGTGCCCTGACCAAGAATCAAACCGTGATTTCCTGGTTCTTAGGTTAGTGCTCAACCACTGCGCCAGACCCACTGGGCCACAATGAAAGTCTTAATTGTTCAGTTGCACTATTTACATTTCCAGTGCCCACTGTGGCTGGTGGCTATGGTGTTGCACCGCCCAGACACAGCATTTCCATCATTGCAGAAAACCCTCTTGGACATCTCAGGTCTGCAGCGGAGGTCAGCGGACTATGACCTGGAGGTCAGGTCTGCCTTGCCACCCTGCTGTGGTGGATAGGTTTTTTATTGGGACAGCCACGCCCATTTGTTTACATACTGTTTGGACGCTGCATCAGCAAAGTTGAGTAATTGCAACAGCGACCTGCAACGCCAAGAATATTGACTATCTGTCCCTTCAGAGAAAAAGTTTCTCAATTGTTGGTCTAGATCAAGCAGGGAGTGGGACGCATTGGAAAACGGCAGACAATTTTGCATTTCAGGAAACTAAGGCACTAACTAGCTTAAAGGTTGACCGGAGAGGTCAATGGTAGGTTCAGGAGGGCCTGGCATGCCTGCATTTCTCAGGGTGTACTCAAGAATACCAGACCGATGAGGTGCTATCCGAAGGACTCTGTGGCCAAATAAGTTCTGGCTCCGCCTCCTTCAGTTTCGGGAGCGCATCAAAGGCTCTGAGAAGCCATGCATTAAAGAAATGTGTTATATTTTGCATAACCCCAAAGCTACTTCACCAAAGAATGCTTTCTTTTAACACCGAGATTAAAATTCTGTAGAACGGAGGTTCTTTGAAACATACTTTGAGATGGAGATGCGTAGCCTTAAGGTACCGCAGAAGGCTTTCAAGCAAAGGAGTGACATATTTAAATGGACTGTACAATGTGTGATCCTTGATGCTTTGTTGGCTGGCACATGTCTCAATGGCACCGGCCTAACCTAGCATCGTGGCGATAGTGAACTGGTCTAAACCAAGCCCCCCTGTTCTCTTTGAAGCCTTACTCATATTCATATCTTATAACGCTCCTTCCTGGCTTCAGGCCCTTTGCCAGTCCTCCTTACATTTGTGGGACAGAGATGAATGGATCGGCAGTATAGCACACAGACACTGGAATTACGAAATCATTAGTCTTCTTCCTTAATTAGCAACTTGGCAGAAGCAAGTGTCCCCAAATTGGAGGAGCAAGCAGGAAGCAGAGCAGGAATGTGAGGGCGGGGAAGTATTTTAAGCTGTCCAACGGCTTTGAAGTCTGCAGATAAGAGCCTCAACAGCCTGCCCGTGGGGGTGCCATTTCTGGCTGACTCACTCACTGGCCCAGGATCAGGCCAAATGGATGTGCCAACACGGGCCCCCGCACCCTCGTCCCTCCTCCTAGCCATGGGGACATCAGCTCCCCTCCTGCCTGGGCCCTGGTGCGCGAAGGGGCTCTGGGATGTACAGCCATGGTTTCTTTCCTCTGGCTCCTTCAGTTTTGGAAAGGAGGCTAGTTAGGTTTTTTTTTTTTTTTTTTTTTGAAGGGTGGAGCCATGACTGACTTATTTTGTGTCGTGTGGTTTCCTTTAGATTCAGTGCTCTCCTGGGGACCATACCTGTACAGCATGGTAAGTAGGTGGGGCCTCACCTCTGCACCCTCCGTCGTCAGCGGCCCAGCAGACCTCTCCTGGCTCTGACCTCAGGAAGGACAGAGCTTAGCGGAGTGAGCCTGTGTGGTTGACTCTGCTCCCTAGGACTTCTGGTCCATATCAAATAGGATACCGTAAGCCAGTGTTTCCCAAACTTTTGACATATGTATACCCCTTCTATAATTTTTGTTACGCCGAGTACCCCTCGTACTCATGAGAACATAGAATTAGGCGCAGCTAAGCACGGTGCAGTGCATATCCCCACCAAACTTCGGTGCAACGCATACCCCCACCAAACTCTTCCCGTACCCCTGGGGTACACGTACCACACTTTGAGAAACACTGCCTTAAACTATAGCTGGCCTTGGTGACAAATTTAAAGAAATATTAGCACATGCCGAAACCGGTTTGGCTCAATGGATAGAGCGTCCCAGGTTCGATTCCGGTCAAGGGCATGTACCTTGGTTGCGGGCACATCTCTGGTGGGGGGTGTGCAAGAGGCAGCTGGTCGACGTTTCTGGCTCTCTATCCCTCTCAATTTCTCTATATGTAAAATCAATAAAATATATTAAAAAAAAAAAAAGAAATATCAGCACAGATATCCCATTTCTTCAGCTTTTTTAAATCCCCTCAACTTTTTTTTTTTAATTTTTTAAATATGTTTTTTATTGATTTTTTTTTTTTTTTTTTTTTTTTTTACAGAGAGGAAAGGAGAGGGATAGAGAGTTAGAATCATTGATGAGAGAGAAACATCGATCAGCTGCCTCCTGCATACATCCTACTGGGGATGTGCCCTCAAACAAGGTACATGTCCTTGGTGGGGATCGAATCTGGGACCTTTCAGGCTGCAAGCCGACACTCTACCCACTGCGCAAACCGGTTAAGGCTCCCCTCAACTCTTTATTATAAAAATGTTCAACCCTCACTGGTTTGGCTCAGTGGATAGAGTCTCGGCGGTCCATGGTTCCATTCCAGTCAAGGGCTCAGGTTTTGGGCTCAGTCCCAAGTAGGGGGCATGTAGGAGGCAGCTGATCAATGATTCCCTCTCATCCTTGATGCTTCTATCTCTTCTTCTCTTTTCCTCTCTGAAATCAATAAAAAATATATTTTTAAATGTTCAAATATGCAGGAAAGTGAAAAGTTCACTATGATCGCCCATATACCCATCATCTAGACTCCATTAAGATTTTGTTGTGTTTCTTCCATAATAGATATGTGACTTGGACACTTTCGGATGTATTATATAAGCTCCCCTTTCTCCTTTCCACTCTTTCTGTTACCCAGCCCTAACTGGAGCAAAGCCAGACTTGTGTTTCTAAGCAAAGTGGGCCATTGTGCTGTTCATTTGCGTTGCAGTCTCTTCTCGATGACCAAGGCCTGGCGGAGGTGTCGCAGGTGGCAGAGCAAGTCCTGGATGCCGTGGATAAGGGGCTCTACAAGGAGGCCACCCAGCTGTGGGGAAAAGCGGAAATGGTCGTTGAACAGGTAACAGGGCACACGCTCGGGGTGTCATTCCCAGGAATAAAGGGCCCTTCGCTGGTGTGGGGAGGATTGGGAGGTCTGTCCTGAGGCACTCCAAAAATTAGCTCTTGCTGCCTATACATTAAGACACGGCTCATTCCAAAACCGGTTTGGCTCAGTGGATAGAGCGTCGGTCTGCGGGCTGAAGGGTCCCGGGTTCGATTCCGGTCAAGAGCATGTACCTTGGTGGCGGGCACATCCCCCATAGGGGGTGTGCAGGAAGCAGCTGGTCAATGTTTCTCTCTCATCGATGTTTCTAGCTCTCTATCCCTCTCCCTTTCTCTCTATGGAAAATCAATAAAATATATTTTTTTGGGGAAAAAGACACAGCTCATGATTATCCTGCAGCATCTTTGCTTGGCTCCTATGAGCTATTCCACCCCCAACCTCCGCCTTCCCCTCACCCCTCATCCAAGGCTGGGCTGACGGAGCCTGCTGAGCTGCATTTCTTTCTGGTCCAGGCAGATTTAGAGAAAGCTGGCCCTGGATACAATGGAGGGCCAGGTGCCTTTCTGTTCTACAGCATTGACAATGGAGAAATAAAGAGCCAACAGCCAAATATACTTCTGTATTTCAGAACACGGATGGGGTGAACTTCTATAACATCCTAACTAAAACTGCTCCCATGTCCACCATGAAGTCAAGCCTAGAATTCACCCAGAACCACCTAGGTGAGTGAGCCTGGAAACTGCTGGCCCAGTTTCTTCTCAAAGCTTTATTTTACCCTTTTGTTTTTATTTTTTAAATTACATTTTTATTGTTGAAGGTATCATTATGTCCCCCTTCTTCCCCCATTGACCCCTTCTAGCCCGCCCTCACCCCCACTCCCCACCCCAGGCTTTCACCATCCTATTGTCTGTGTCCATGGGTTATGTATATGTACATACAAGTTCTCTTCCCACTATTTATTTATTAATTTTAAATTATAGTTGGCTTACACTGTTATATTAGTTTCAGGTGTACAGCACAGTGATTCAACATCTGTACACCTTAGAAAGCGATTGCCACAGTAAGGCTAGTTAACCATCTATCACTGGACTGTAAAGCTTCAATAATATATACTTCAGCCCTAACCGGTTTGGCTCAGTGGATAGAGCATCGGCCTGCGGGACTGAAAGGTCCCAGGTTTGATTTCGGTCAAGGGCATGTATCTTGGTTGCAGGCACATCCCCAGTGGGGAGTGTGCAATAGGCAGCTGAATCGATGTTTCTAATTCTCTATCCTTCTCATTTTCTCTCTATAAAAAAATCAATAAAATATAGAAAAAAATATATATATATATAATTCACATGCCATAAAATTCACCTGTTTTAAGTGTATATCTGTGGTTTTTAGTGCATTCACAGAGTTGTGCAATCACCACCACAATCAGTTTCAGACTGTTTCCCAGAAATATCCCACATGTCTGCATGCAGCTGACTCACCACCAGGCACCCCCTCCTCCGCTCGCTGTTCGTCTAGACTTGCCTTTTCATGGCCTCTCGTAGAAATGGCTTCGTGCTACGGGTAGTCTATAAAACATCGGCTTCTCTCACGTAGTATGTTTGAAGATTGGACACCAGCTTCTGCTCCCTGGATGGCGATGCCAGTCCTCCTGCAGGCTGGGTTGTGCTGTCTTTCAGCTGCCCCAGCGTCAGGGTGGGTGCCGTACGTGGCATCCTCCTCTGTAAGAGACGGATTAAGGCTGCAGGAGTCCTCTAGATGCCACTGCTTGCTGGTTTCTTCTGTCCATGCTGGCTACTCTCCGAGGCCCCACAGTACTTGACATGCAGCAACCAACACTAATGAATCCTCTCCAGTTTCAATGTGTTGCTGCCTTCTTCCTCCATCTGGGGTGGATCCAGGTGACACTTTTCATGTTCCAGCCGAAAGCCTCCCTCCTCGCACAGCAGCTTGGGAAGGTCCTCTTGGTCCCATTTCCACCCCTTTTGACTCACTGTGTACGTCTGTTTCAGTTCAGCTTTACCAGCGCCACGTGAGACACCTAAATCGGGACGACTTGAACCAGCTCATGAATGGGCCCATCAGGACGAAGCTCAAAATTATTCCCAAGGACTGCTCCTGGGGAGGTAAACTCATGCAACCTAATTGGGTGCCACCTGTGGAGTTGGGGAGGCGGTAAAGAAAGGTGCACATTCAAAGGCCTTCCTTGGTAGAAGGGGTTTCGTTGGTGGTGGTGATCGTATGTTGCTGGTAGGATGGTGTTATTATCCACATTTTGTAGGGGAGCAAAAAAAAAACAAAAAACAGCAAGTGACACGCCAGATTTGGTTCAAAGTCAGGGGCGGGTTGGGAGAGAAATGCCATGTTTGGTTATGAGGTGATGACGGCTGAAGCCAGGTGTGAGTACGCTCTTTCTTTCCCTTTCCTATCAGTTTGAAATTTTCCGTAATAGCACCGTTGAGATTTAGAAAAGCCATGCCTGAGGCCACAGTTGGTTACAGGTGTGACTTCTAGACAAAGATCTTTTTGGACGGGTTTGACCAGTTCTCTGGCCAGCCTCCTCCTGGTGCCAGATGTGGTCCAGGTGTGTATTGCCTTCTGGCCTGAAGACCATAGAAAGGAGATATTGGGGTCCTCAGAGACCAGGCCAGGTGGAACTCTTGGTAAGGACCTGTTTAGTCCTGTGGAAAGGCCGGGAGAAGTGGAACGCCCAAGGTCCTGGAGAGGCAACACTCCATGCTGGGGAGAGTTTCGTTGATCCCCCAAAGTGATGGTCTGGAGGTTTTCCAGGGTGGCCCTGTGACAGCTGCTGAGACTCGGGGGGCGCTGGCCTGACGTCCTCAGGGGACACAGGCCATCCTCCCCACCTGCAGAGAGCTGAAAGCTCATCCTAGACCAGGTGTCCTCATCTCCTCAGAGTTTTCTAGAAATGAAGAAAGACATTAAAGTGATCAAATAAAAAGAATGTGGTGTCAGTGCCACAAGGGATGAGGACAGCTATGGGGAGCTGTATGGCAGTGGGAAGAAAACCTGAACAACCACAGAGGGCTAGGTCCAGCTCAGACTCCTGTGAGCGCCTGTTTGCAGCCCCTGCCTTCCTTTCTTTTTCTTTCTTTCTTTCTTTCTTTCTTTCTTTCTTTCTTTCTTTCTTTCTTTTAAATATATTTTTATTGATTTTTTTACAGAGAGGAAGAGAGAGGGATAGAGAGTTAGAAACATCAATGAGAGAGGAGCATCAATCAGCTGCCTCCTGCACACCTCTCACTGGGGATGTGCCCGCACATGCCCTTGACCGGAATCGAACCCGGGACCCCTCAGTCCACAGGCCGACGCTCTATCCACTGAGCCAAACCGGTTTCGGCCCAGCCTTTCATTTTATCTTCATTTATGGTGGGAGGGTGGGTTGGGTGGAAGGGCCCAGTGACTACTTTTTTTTCAGCCAAACTCTCTTTGGCTCCAGTGTGTCTACGAATGGTTTGAAAAGGACAGAGTGACCTTGCCCAGTTCTCCCAGTTTCTTTGAGTTTTGGTTTGTGGTAAAGCCTACAGACCCTGGAGTCAGCCAGGCCTACTTTCCTATCCCAGTTTGCCACTGGATGACTGTTTCACCCAGACACGTGTTGTAGCCTCTCTGAGCCTCGTTTTCTTTAACCTTGATACAAGTCAAGAGACCTTTCCTCCCAGGGTGGTGATGAAGAGGAAATGAGATGTTGCTTATAAAGTACAGTGACTAGCAAATAAAAATAAACGTATACATACGCTATTGTTATTGCTCAGTATTCTGACGATGGTGGAGCTAGTGGTGGTCAGGAGTCCACTGGGAATCTGCACTGACCAGCTCCTCTGGCTGGGGGCTAGTCCTCCACATGGTCACCTTCTCCTCCTCTTACCTGGGATTCTTCCTCCACAGGGCTTACTGAGGGCAAACTCTAAATGGGTCTGGGTCTGATTTGGTTTCTCACTAGGGTAGCCTCCCTTGTTCAGAAATTAGAACTTAGCCCTAATCGGTTTGCTCAATGGTTAGAGCGTCAGCCCAGGGACTGGAGGGTTCCAGGATCGATTCCGGTCAAGGCAGGCTGCATCCCTGGCGCTGGTCAGGACCCATGCGGAAGGCAACCAATCAGTGTTCTCTCTCTCTCTCTCTCTCTCTCTCTCTCTCTCTCTCTCTCTCTCTCTCTTTCCCTCTCCCTCCTACTCTCTCTCTCTCTGAAAATCAATTGAATATATATGCTTGAATGAGGAGTAACAAACAAACAAAAATGCCATTGCTGTCATCACCACACTTGAGAGACCAGAGCAGGTGTTGTTCATGCTTGCCCTCTGCACATCCAGCTCAGGGCACGGAGACCCAGGCTGGTTGGTCCCTGTGGGTGAAGTATCTGTGTGTTCAGTCTTTTGGGTGCTGCACAGGCTTACATTTGGGTGCCAGGGCCCAGAATGCTCTGGGGCTGGAAGGTCCCTCTTATTCTGGTGGATTCCAAGCTGCTCCCTCTCTCCTCATGTGCAGGCCAGGCCAACAACGTCTTCCTGAACATGGAGGGGGACTTCATGAAGCCAGCCATCAGTGTGGTGGACGAATTGCTGGAAGCCGGGGTCAACGTGACCGTGTATAACGGACAGCTGGACCTCATCGTGGACACCATGGGTAGGAACCCACTTTGAGTGGCACGTGGAGGCGGTGTTTCAGGTTGAGCCGGAAGGGAACTGGTCTCAGGAACATCCCTCTTGGGGCTGGTAACATGGATGTGCAAGAAGAAGGCCATTTCCTGTTTTATCCAACCTTGATGTTTGGAAGCAGGTGGAGCCATCTGTGACCCCTCTGAGAAGTGTAGGCCCATCCAGCTGTTGAGGCCCTTCAGTATACCGTAGTTAAAGAAAAACACAACACCTATCCCTACCACAAAAATAAAAAAGAAGACATTTTTCTGACCACTAGACAGATGGACTATTTCACTGAGGGAAAACCTTGCAGTGTGATTTAAGATTAAACCCTAAGGACTCTGTAAAACGAGGATCTGGGGGAAGTGGTCTTTGCAGAGCCACTGTCGCACTGGCTGTCTTCGCGTGCCCACTTCTAGGGTCAGCAGGGCCAGTGGAAGCACAGGGGCAGGTGCTTGGAAACAGCAGGCCAGCCAGGCGTGGGGTCTGCTGGATGTGCTGTGTTTTTTAGCGTCAGCAGGACCGAATCTTTCTGTGACTTGTAAGCCAAGGCGCTAAGGACAACATGAAAAGGTTCTGCGTTCTTCCCACATTTCTGTCTCACCCGAGACTTCTCAGTCCTCCTGACAGCTGCCACCTCCAGAGGTCCCCGATGGCCTCCCTCCAGAGCATACAGCAGTAGGAGAGGGAAAGGCAAAAACTGGTCGGGCTCCCCAGCAGTTTGGTTTCTTCATAGGCCGGGGTATCCCTGGAACTTGCTAAAAATGCAAACTCTCAGGCCCCACCCACACCTACTGAGTCAGAACTTGCATTTTTACAAGGTTAAGGGTTTTTTCCCCTTTTAAAAAACAACTTATTAAATTTATTAGGATGGGGGTGTCAATCGGGAAAAATGGAGATATGTAATACTTTAAACAACAAATAAGTCAAAAAGAAAAAGAGGGAAAAAAAAAACACCCCCAAAAAATAAATTTATTGGGATGACATTGGTTAATAGGATTACATAGGATTCAAGTGTACACTTGTATAGTACATCATCTGTATATTGCATGGTATGTTCACCACCCGAAGTCAAGTCTTCTCTTACCATTTATGCCCCCTTCACCCTTTTCTACCCCCTCCCACCTCCTTTCCTTCAGATAATCACCATATTGTGGTCTGTGTCTATAAATTTTTGTTTGTTGCTTTTAGTTTTATGTCCCATATACAAGTGAAATCATATGGTTCTTGACTTTTCCCATCTGACTTATTTGGATTAGCATGATAGTCTCAAGATCCATCCATGTTCTCACAAAGGACAGTATTTCCTCTTTTGTTGTGGCTGAGTATTCCATTGTATATATGCACCACATCTTCTTTATTCAGTCCTCTACTAAAGTATGCTTAGGTTGTTTTCATGTCTTGGCCATTGTCAGTAATGCTGCAGTGCACATGGGGGTGCATATATCTTTATGAATAAATGTTTTCAAACTTTTCAGCTAGATATCCAGAAGAGGGATTGCTGGGTGATACGGTAGCTCTATTCTTAATATTGTGAGAGACTTCCATATGGTTTTCCATAGTGACTGTACCAGATTACATTACCACTAGCAAGGAATGAGGATTCCTTTTTCTCCACAACCTCTCCAACACTTGTTATTGCTTGTCTTTTTGATGATATCCATTCTAACAGCTGTGACATGGTATCTCATTGTGTTTTGTTTTGTTTTGTTTTTTAATATGTTTTATTGATTTCAGAGAGGAAGGGAAAGGGAGAAAGATAGAGACATCAATGACAAGACAGAATCATCAATCAGCTGCCTCCTGCATGCCCCACACTGGGGTTTGAGCCCACAATCTGGGCATGTGCCCTGACCAAGAATTGAACCATGATCTCCTGATTCATAGGTGGACACTCAACCACTGAGCCACGCTGGCCAGGCTCTTTGTGGTTTTGATTTGCATTTTACAAGGGTGAGTTTTATGCACATTATTATGCTTTGGGAAAAGCCAAGTTATACGAACTAGATTTTTTTTTTTTTAATCATATGTGAGGGTATATTCCAGTACTGCAGGCAGTATGGGAGAGCAGCAGGTCATTCACAAAAATCAGCTCTGAAGCCCCCCATAAGCCAGATGCTTATATAGTAGGACTAGATTATATGGGGAGGTAGGGATTACAGGAATAGGGAAGTTGTCATTGTAGGCTGAGCTGGGACTAGGACCTAGATTTTTTTTTTATTCCACCCCACAGCTAATGCCTGGCCCTTCTCCGTCTCTCTTATCAGGTCAGGAGGCCTGGGTAAGGAAACTTAAGTGGACGGAACTGCCCAAGTTCAATCAGCTGAAGTGGAAGCCCCTGTACACTGACCCTACATCTTCGGAAACGTCTGCTTTTGTCAAGAGCCACAAGAACCTGGCTTTCTACTGGATTCTCAAAGCCGGACACATGGTGAGAGAGAGGCTGCTTTTGTTCCAGATTTAAATCCTTCTGAGGGACGCCATGGGCAGTTGATTATGCCTGGGTGCTCTGCCTGCGTTGGTCTTACACGAAGCACTTTGGGCTAGGAAGTGTTTCAAGGTCTGTAACAAAATTCTGCCCTTAGCGCTTCATTCATTGAAGCCTGGGAATTTTCACTTAAAAGAGTAAATCCTCCCGCCGAAACTGGTTTGGCTCAGTGGATAGAGCGTCGGCCTGCGGACTGAAGGGTCCCAGGTTCGATACCGATCAAGGGCATGTACCTTGGTTGCAGGAACATCCCCAGTAGGGAGTGTGCAGGAGGCAACCGATCAATGTTTCTCTTTCATGGATGTTTCTAACTCTCTATCCCTCTCCCTTCCTCTCTGTAAAAAAATCAATAAAATATATATTAGAGAGAGAGAGAAAGATTGGGGCGGGAGTGGGGACAAAGATCCCTTCCCACAAGCTACTCCTTAGGGACATTACTGGTCCTCACCTGGGGTCAGTTTTGTCCCCACAGACTTTGGCAATGACTGGAGACATTTTTGGTTGTCACAGTTAGAGGGAGGGAGCTGCTGGCACCTGGTGGGTAGAAGTCAGGACCCTGGTCAACATCCCACCATGCATAGGACGCCCCCACACCTAAGAACTGTGCAGCCCAGTGTCAGTGGTGCCAAGGCTGAGAAAGCCTGATACGGAGGAAGGGGACCAGGGGTATCTGCTAGACTCAGTCTCACAATACTTTATTTATTTACATATTTGACCACAGACAATGTAGTCTTTTTTATTTTTTCCAATTACAGTTTACTTTCAATATTATATTTTGTATTGGTTTCAGGTGTTCAGCGTAGTGGTTAGACAATCCAGTCCTCACCTGGCACCATGCAGAGTTATTACGATATTATTGGCTATATTCCCCGTGCTGTACTTCACATCCCCGTGATTATTCTGTAACTACCAATCTGTACCTGTTAGTTCCTTCACCTCTTTCACCCCGTCTCCTGACCCCTTCCCCTCTGGCAACTACCAATCTGCTCTCTGTCTCTGAGTCTGTTTTCGTTTTGCTTGTTTATTTTGTTCCTTATTTTTCACATATAACTGAATTACATGGTATTTGCACAGACAACGTATTCTTAACCTCTCTGACCTTTAGTTTCCTCTTAAGAACTTTCCAGAAGTGAAAATGCTGAAAGTTCTAAGAGAAACGGAAGTTTCTCTTTGGTTTCCTTTATCCACTGAACAAACATTGGCGTGTCACTGCCAGGCACTGCGAGTGCATGGATGGCACACCATCTCCGTCCTCAAGGAGCTCGTGGGCAGGCAGAGACCCTCTGTGAATAGAGGGAAGGAGTTGGAGGAGGGCTGAGACCCTCATGACATGCGGTGAAATGCTAAGATGGGGGTTGGCCCAGGGAAAGGGGCCCAGCCCAGGCTTGGGGGTCCTGGGAGCCCGGCCCCTAAACAATGGGCAGGAGTTAGCTAGGCAAAGGAGAATGTGGGAGCAAGGAGAGCAGCGTGTGCAGGTCCAGAGGAGCCTTCCGACAGGCCTCAGGAGGGACACTGGGCAGAGGTGAGACTGGGGAGGGAGACTGTGCACCTCGGCAAGGACCTCAGACCTTTCCGGAAAGCGATGTGATGCCATCAAGGGGTTTTAAGCCAAGGCATGAAATTACTAGGTTTGTCTACAAAATAATATCCCAGCAGCCGAGGACATGGGACAAGACTGAGGCAGCTCACCAATCTAGGAGGCTTTTCTGGTCAGCCAGAAGGGAGCGATGTGGAGGAATTTAAGGGAGAATGGGCAGGTCTTGGTAACTGCTTGTATACATGTGCATCTGGAGTCAGATGTCTGTCCTTGAAGACAGAGATTCTGGAATCCAATATGGAAAAGGCGAGAGGCAGGGCCCTGGGTGCACCCGTACTTAAGAGATGGGAGGCAAGGCCCTTGCTGGGTAGCTCAGCTCTGTTGTGGGTTCGATTCCCAATTAGAGCACATGCAAGAGTCACCAATGAATGCATAAATAAATGGAACAAGAAGTCAATGTTTCTCTCTCAAATTAAAAAAAAATTTTTTTTATAAATTAAAAAGAAAAAGAGATAGGAGGCAAAAGAAGGATCCACAAATGAGACCTGAGAAAGAAGCAACCAGAAAAGTAGGAGGGAGCCAGGGACATGTGGCATCCTCAGAATCGAGAGGAGCCAGTGATGTCTCCTGCTGCTGAGACAGATAAAGGACTGACATGTATGGAACGAGTTGGGACAATGATGGGTGTCATCCTTTATAGTGAGTGGCAGGCTCTGAAGCCAGCAGGGAGAGGTTGGAGCAAACGACTGAGCAGCGAGGGAAAGAGACAGCAACTTCCTTAAGAAACCAGAAGGAAGAAACCATCTGAAGCGAGCATTAACAAGGCAGCTGGACTGGGTTAAGAGGGCATTTTGTGAAAGGCTCTGAGTACCTGCGTGCCTTCAGTGTTGAGCACACATTGTGACTTAGAGAACAACACTTTTGAGAGAGGGGTCCCCGCAGAGGCAGGTAGGGGGGGAAGGGAGGAGGAGCTAACCACAGGCTTGCTCTGAGCTGGCGTTCAGATGCATTTCCTCTTGGTTTGGAACAAAAGGAACAAGAGATCAGTTGGGGGCAGCCTTAAAATAGCTCTTGGAGACTGTTATTAAATCGTCCCCCAACCGCCTCCCCTTTGGTTGATTGAATGTCATTTTGGTAAATTCCACCATGCCTCCATGGCCTTGCTTGGCAGGATTGTCGGGGACAGTGATGTGGCATAGAGAATCGTGGAACCATCTGCTCTCTACCCCAGGCCTCTACCCTTCCCCCTTTTGGTGGTGTGTGGGAAGGAGATTAAAAATACATTTTCCTTGATTGATTTTTAGAGAGGGAAGTTGGGGGAGTGAGAAACATCGACATGAGAGTGAAACATCTATCAGCTGCCTCCTACATGACCCAGCCTTCCAAAACCTGGGCATGTGCCCTGACCAGGAATCGCACTGGCAACCTTCCAGTGCATGGGGATGATGCCCAATCCAGTTATACTGGCCAGGGCGGGAAGACTTTTTTTTTTTTTTTTAAACAGGAATTATTCAAAAACTCTAAGGGAAAAACAAAACAAGGTGGAATATCGTATAAAAACGGGTATACCACCCATGCAAAGGGTCTCCTTTGCTTCTTTGTGTGGGTTTTGCTGTTCGCTTCCCTCTGGGGCCATGTTTCTGCTCTCTTCCCAGTCTGGGATGTGTCCTACCCAGAGAATCCTGTAAAATGTTTAGAATCCCCCCTCTCCTTTGAACAGGCTGGGGCTGTTAGTACCATAAGCACAGCCTTTAAGAACAACAGATCAACAGCTCAGTCTCACATGGACAAAGTTCTTTCCTAAACACAGACTTTGGGCACCTGCCACCTAACAGGTTGGGTCCCTGAAGAGCTTTCGTCAGGCACAGCCGTCCTTTCACAGAAACGACCCTCCTGTGAAGGGGTGCAGCCGTCCTCCCAGGCTGCTGTCAGAGAGCAGCAGGGCGCTCTTCCTGGGAGCCGGGTCTCAGGATGTCGCCCCTGAAGCTGACCTCAGGAATTGAACCGGTCGCGCACCGAAACCAGTTTGGCTCATTGGATAGAGCGTTGGCCTTCAGACTGAAAGGTCCCAGGTTCGATTCCGGTCAAGGACATGGACCTTGGTTGCGGGCACATTCCCAGTGGGGGGGTGTGCAGGAGGCAACTAATCGATGATTCTCTCTCATTAATGTTTCTGACTATCCCTCTCTCTTCCTCTCTGTAAGCAATCAATAAAAATAAAAAATAAAAAGAACTGGTCGCGCTAACTCTGATCCTGCTTGGTTCTAGGTGCCTTCTGACCAAGGGGACATAGCTCTGAAGATGATGAAGCTAGTGACGGGGCAAGAGTAGGATGGACTGGCTGCAGGTGAGCAGCGTGGCCTCGGAGCACGGGAGCTGAAGCACCCCGAAGCTGTGGGAGCACCATGGTCCCCTCGACTCCGACCTGGGCTGTGATTGTGAAGGCTCCTGCGAGCTTCTTTCTGCAGAGAACAACCTCACCGTCTCTGTGGCAGCTTGGAAGTCATTTTTGCTTCAGAAATCAACAGCAGATTTTTAAGATTTTTTTAAATGGATTTGTTGTAATCAGAATGAAGGTGTTAAGCCGCATTCACTTTTTGCTTATTATAAAAGCAAGCTGTGCAATTTATATTTTTACAAAGTAGAGTGGGGGATTCAGGCAAACAAAGAACAAAATGAACACCCTTATACTCCCTTCCCTGGGGTACGCACTTTAGTGTATATCCTTGACAGTGTTTTTTTTGTTGTTGCTATACACATTTTTTTTTTTTTCAAAAATTAAGTCATTAGTTTACTGTCTACTTTGTTCACAAATCAGAATGTCATAAACGCCATTTCATGTCAATAAATGTCATCCTACAACTGTTCTAATGGCTGCTGAGAATTCCATTTTAAGGATGCACCGTAATTTCTGTACCAAATGCCCACTTGTTTTTCTATAAGCAGTTTTTAAGTTTGTTGCTACTATAAACAGTGCTTCTGGTGGTTCACCCTGGCAGTTACATTTTTATGAACATCCTTACTATTTTCTTACAGTATATCACCTAAAAGCATGATTGTGTAGTCAAAGGATCCCAACATTTCTTTAAAATTAAGGTAATGCCTTTGGGACTTGGAAGTTTTCATCTGTGGCTCCAGGTCCCCATAAGGAATCTATCATGTCTGTGATGCCCTGGAGGAACACTGCCTCCTACAGATGTGGGGCAGAGGTGCAGGCACTCGTGGACTCACCTATGCTGTTGCTGCCAGGTATCTTTTGCTGGAAACCATGTTGGCTATGAGTGTAACTAGTTACTGAGTCTTGTGAGTCCTTCTGGTATTGATTTGCAACACATATTGAGTTCCCAACCTCAAAGTGTCTCTTTTGTTACTAGGTAGGATATTAATTGGGAAGGAATGCAAGTTTGAGCATTAGGATGGGCCATACAAGCACATCCCAATGGAGCGAGGGACCTCAAACTTCCTTTCCCCAAGAGGCAGCCCTTCCATGCCTTCCTGAGGTTAATCTCTCTCTTTAAAATATATATATATATTTTTAACAGAGAGGAAGAGAGAGGGATAGAGAGTTAGAAACATCGATGAGAGAGAAACATCGACCAGCTGCCTCCTGCACATCCCCCACCAGGGATGTGCCCGCAACCAAGGTACACGCCCTGGGACCTTTCAGTCTGCAGGCCAACGCTCTATCCACTGAGCCAAACCTGTTTCGGCCTGAGGTTAATCTCTTGCTCTAAGATCCTGTAACCAATTCCCAGACTTGCCCAAGGCTCCTCTTCCTGCTACATTGCATCCTCTCAGCTCACACCCGTGGCTTCAGAGGAATTCCCTGTGGTCAGCTGACTAAGGAAGAGGAACCTTTGGCTTGGTTTACAGAGAGTGCTAAGCTGTATGCAGCACCTGCAAGTGGACAGCCACAGCACTAAAGCCCCTTTCTGGGACAGCCCTGAATGATGGCAGTGAAGGGAATCCTCCCAGTGGCCAGAACTTGGAGCAGTGTACCTGTTTGTTCATTTGCCTGGGAGGAGAGATGGCCAGAAGAAAGAGTCTGCACCAAATCATGGATCAGTTAGGCAGTTGGACTGGGAAAGAACGCAACTGGAAAGTCAGAAGGTATAAGGAAGAGATATAAGAACAGATCATTCTGAATGGCAGAGGCAGAGATATTTATGTTCTATTTGAATGCTCACCAAAGGGCAGAGGAAGATGAGCCACTCTGTAGCCATCAGACAGTCTCCTTCCCCACCGGCTCCTGTGGACTCATGTACAAAGCGGCCATGGGGACAGTGATAGGGGTTATGCATGAGCTCAGCAACATGGACCAGTGCTCACCAAGACTCACCTGGCTGAAACTACTGCCAAGTGCCAAATCTGCCAACTGGAGAGACAGCTATGAGCCCCTGATATGGCACCATTACCCGAAGGGCTCAGCCAACTCCCTGGCGCTAGGTTGATTACCCTAGACCACTTTCATTATGGGGGAGGCAGCAAGTTGTCCTTATTGGAATTGACACTTGCTCTGGACAGGGATTTGTCTTCCCTGCCCTCTACACTTCTGCTGAAACTACCATCTGTGGCCTTACCGAAGGGCTCATCCACCATCATGGTATTCAGGGCCAATGAAATACAGCCATGGGCTCATGCTCTTGGCACTCCCTGGTCTTACACATCACCCGTCAACATGAAGCAACTGCCTTGACAAGAGATGGAATGCTTTTCCAAAGATTCAGTTGCAGTGCCAGCTGGGCAGTGACACCTTGCAGGGCTGGGCAGTGTCCTCCGGTGTGTGGTACATGCTCTAAATCAGCATCACGCTTCTCCTAAAGCCTGGAGTCAGGAGTCCAGGAATCAAGGGATAACAAAGTCATTTTCCTCCCTATTCACCTTAGGGATCCAATAGTCAACTGTTTGCTTCCCATCCCTGTAACTTCAGCCTCTGCTGGTCTAGAAGTCTTAGTTACATCGCTTCTCGGCCTTTTGGCTAAGATCAAGTGTAGAAGTCTTAGTTACAGAGGGAGCAATGCTTTCACCAGGGGAGACAGCAAAGATTGCCTTGAATTGGAACTTGAAGCTGCCATCTGGCCTCTGGGCATTGAATCAACAGACAAAGTACTGGCTGGGTGATGGAGCCTGACTATCAAGGAAAAATTGGGTTGCTGCCACTCAATTGGGGTAAGGAGGGAAAATCCAAGAGATCTTTTGGGGTACCACTTTAGTACTCCCACATCCTCTGATTAAGGTTAATAGAAAATGACACCGCAATTTAAACTGCTAATTTCCCAGATACTTCACAAAAGGTATGGGTCATTCTTCGTTGCAAGGAACTATGACCCACTGAGGTACTTGCTGAGGGCAAAAGAAATACGGAAAAAGTAGTGGATGATGGTAGCTATACCTGCTAGCTGTGACCTTGAGACCAGTTATAGAAAGGAGAATTGCATTAGTTATGAGCATTTCTTTCTTCTTTGATATGAATGTATTTTAATAAATGTTAACCAAAAATGTAACCTCATCCTTTTATCATCTAATTTAAGATGTGCTTGTAATAAATAATTTTATATGTAAGCATTGAAGTGCAAGATGTCAGAAGGGGAGTATGAGTCAGCTAGGAACATCCTCCAGAGACAGGAAAAGGACTCCGTGCTCTGCTGGGGTAAAGGTTAGAGTGATTTGGGTTGTAAGAGGGATAGTTGTGCCCTATCAAGCTGATGCATCATTTGGGTCTTGTCTTTGTTTGAAGATTAATGTGGTTTAAGGCAACATGTGTAGGTGCCACGTTGGTAAGGGATGGACTGTGGACCCTTTAGTAAAGGGATGAGCCCTTTACTAAAACGGACTGTGAAAGTGACTAACGTAGGGGCAGCGTCTTTGGTTTTGAGTGCTTCGGAGTGGACATAGTTGGGTTGATGTAGGACCCACAACTCACTACTGGACAATCACAGATGGCTGTTAAAGAGAAAACCATAGGCCCCAATTTAGTCACTTGTGCTGAAGCCCAAGACATTGACCCTAAACTCTATAGTTACCTCACTGCAGATTCCACCATCTTCAGGACAGTAATCTTTTTATTTTATTTTATTTATTTATTTGTTTGTTTGTTTGTTTGTTTCAGAACTGATTACAGAGAGAAAGGAAGAGGAAGAGAGAGATAGAAACATCAGTGATGAGAGAGGATCATGAACCGGCTGCCTCTTGCACGCCCCCTACTGGGGGTCGAGTCCACAACCCAGGCCCCCTAATGGGGGTTGAGCCCACAACCCAGGCCCCCTACTGGGAGTCGAGCCCACAACCCAGGCTCAGGTTCACAGATCAACGCTCAACCACTAAGACACCCCAGCTGGGCCAGGACGATAATCTTAGTGGTCAGCCAGTAATTTTCCCTAAAAGAACTTGAGGTAATCTGCCTGATAAAATCCCTGCCTTCCCCTAGGGGAAGGTAACCTTGCCAGAAATAATCCTTTCTTTTGTTTTGCTAATAACTTTCTTGTCCTCCTGAGTTTCCGTGGACAAAACCCTCCCCTAGTGTACAGTTCCTCTAAACTTTAGAGTGCCCCTCTACTTGCTAGATAGGATGCGGCTCAAGATTCTTGGATCGTTCAATAAAGCTGATCAGATCTTCAAATGTATGCAGTGGAATTATTTCTTTAATTAGCTGTATAAGACCCAGACACATAGCATGTTATTCCTGAGGAAACAGCCAGCCTGGTGGACTGGGTGAAAGCCACTGTCAGATCTGTTTACTCTGCCAAGGGGCCTGTCTGACTCACCCTTAAATGCCTGGTCAACACCTCACGTGAAGCAGCTGATACATTCTTTACGTAAGCCATGTGGGGTTGGCTTTATAATGACTGGGATAGTCACTTGCTGAATATGCCTGCTACTCTGGTCATGTTAAATGCTGTGGTTGAGGTGACCCCTTTTTCATGGGCACCCAATGTAATCTTAACGCTGCAAAATCAGCAATAATCCAAGAAGCATATTGGAATTGCTGTCTCAGCTTCCCCTCCTGGGTTTTACAGATTCTAACAAAGACATTAGATTAATGAATGAGAATGAGGAAAGGGAAGCGGGAGGGGCAAGGAACTGATCCCGGCAGGGGGGAAATCTTTAGAAATGAAGACCAATAAGACTGGACATGAACAGGATTGAAAGAAAGGTTTTAATACAGCACTATGGAAGGTTGGTGGAGCAAAGGGACCTCCTATTGGGCTCCAAATAAGGTTCTCTTTAATTCTGTTTGGAGGAAAAAAAATGCTTTTAAAATATTTTTATTGATTTCAGAGAGGAAGGTGTGGGGGGGAGAGAAACATCAATGATATGAAGAGAATCACTGA